CGACATAATGAATCATGGATGTAATAATTGAAACATGATGCAGACAGCACGTCAGTATTATCTTGACCCTGATTCTGATCCTAGTCGATGCATAATGCCATAATGCACAACTCATTAATCGCAACGTGCGATGCGTGATCAGCGTCTTGTCATCGCTAGTACGACAAGGATCCACAAGAAATTTGGTTGGGCCACAAATGCTGCCAAGAATCCACACAAATATGGATAAGGAATTCACTAGTGGTTTCAGAACAAGTCCAAATATGATAGTACTTATTTGGTATCTGTTCCTGATAAAAAGAACTGGATAGTTGCTCATGCTTCTCTCTCCTTTTGTGTCCAATCACATACTCACATGAAGAAAAAGATACTACTGAACAGACTGAACCTGAGCAAGAAATTGTTTGTTTCCCCTATAGCTGAACGGCTTATCAGTGAGAAAAAGGTTATGGATAAAAGTTTTATATATCTTAACGGTTTAAAAATAAATGCTAAAAAATAAATTACAATGAAAAAAACTAACTTTAAAATTAATTTTTAAAATTTAAATTTTGCCAGCAGCTTATATAAGATGAAAAGGGCTCCTCTGCTAGAGATGACTGAACAGCTCGTTCACAATTCCTTTCAGACAAAGGCAGCCGTGGTTTTGAAGGGCTCCTCAAGATTTGTTTTGCGATTCCCAAACATTGTCGATTAATTACTGCAAATTTCACTCAAACAATGCGTCTTTCTCATCAAACCGAGATAGGGCTGCTGTTGTTTTCATAATGCAGAGACGTCCTGGCCTGCAAAACGATGAGTGGATATTTCTGTTGTTATATATACTATATATCTACCTCTTGCATGTGCCAAGATGCCAATGGAGGAAGATGCAAACGATTTACAAGAATAACTAACTACTGGCAACTCGAATTGGGCGTAAATTGCAATAGAAATAGGCGTGTAGATGGTTGACTAAAACACTAGCAGGGGTAGATCCCTATAGAATGACTAAATCATGAGTGATGTGGTCGGTCAATTGCAGCGTCTTATCCAGGATCACCCAATTACATTTCTGTATTTTTATTAGCAAAGTTAATTTACATAGCCCAAGAACAGATCAGCCAATGATCGGTAGACACATGCTCCGATGATTTTATCTCTAGTCGTGTGCTTGTTAAGCGCATCGGCCATTACATTCTTTGTCAAGCTGACAGCCTGACACTGAACACTACACAAGGACTTGGATTCTTGTAGCTCTTGTGTTCCACTCTGTCAGTATCCTGATTCATATCCTAGTATCTTAGTATACTACGATCCTATCAAGCCGAAACGATACCGATCCCATCTAGTATCTTAATTTTCATAGTATCTTGATTCTACTATTTATTACTATACGATCCTACAAAATCTTAGGTGATATCTCGATCCTACGATCCCTACGATCCTACAAAATATTATTTTAAATAACATGGTTTGGAAATAATGTAAATAAATATGCTCAATTTTATATAAAAATCAGTTAAATATATCAAAACCAGCGTGGTTTCTCTTGATAAATGTTTCTATTTGCATGACATATATCATTACTACATTTATTTTATATAGAATGGCTATATATAATTAATATAGATATTAATTAAACTTAAAAAAATATCATAGTATCCCGATACTACGATACGATCCTACGATACGATATTACTTTGAGCAAAACGATACTACTTAGTATCCTGATCCTGACAACCTTAGTTCCACTCCTGGGCTACTCTATTCAGCTATTGTTGGTTATGCATTAATTTGGCTTTGTGCTCAGCATGCATGATATGTTTGTAGGTCTGGCGGTGTTCGATCTTGCATAGTGATGGTAGGTGTGGTGATAGTTTTTGTGTGTGTAAGGCTTGAATCTTTGGACACATGCATGAAGCATTAAATATAGATAAAAATAAAAACTAATTGTACAGTTTGTATGAAAATCACAAGATGAATCCTTTGAGCCTAATTAGTCCATGATTAGTCATAAATGCTACAGTAACCCACATGTGCTAATGATAGCTTAATTGGGCTCAAAAAATTCGTCTCACGGTTTCTATGCGAGTTATGAAATTAGTTTTTTCATTCGTGTCCAAAAAACTCTTCCAACATTCAGTCAAACATCTAATGTGACACCTAAAAATTTTCTTTTCGTAAACTAAAAGCATTGTTGGTGTGTGATGGTGGTTTTGTCTTTTTCTAATTCTAGTCTCATAGGACGGTAGTCTTGTCATTTTTTTCCTACTATATCATTTTTTTGGCACTATCCGATGTTATTTGTTTTTTAAAAAGCATGCATGATACGTAGTTCTCCTTCTAGACAATAGCTACCATGTTTTTAGTATTTAATTGGGATATATTTGAAATTATAGATCAGATTTCTCTCAAAAGTACTACCATTAGAAAAAAAATAACATATAATTTGTTGGGGTGAATAAATATGTAATAATAGAAACTGGTGGTTATAGTTGTATTTTATAAGTGGGGTCAAATGGTCAATATCCAAAACATGAACAGCATGTATTTATGCCCGGAGAGACTAGTAGCTACTACTATGTTCTTAAAAAAAAGATAACACCTTAGCTACGAATATAGACATAGCTATGAACCCTAGCTAGGATTGAGTTTTTTTTTTTTTTGAAACGGAGGTGGTAGATGATATATAAAAAGTAAGTTTTTTTTAAGATAGAATAAATCTTGGCCTTACGAAGAAAGTAAGTGGCTAGATGATAGGAACAAAGTGTCATACTGCTCATTTGGACGGCACCGAGAAGAGAAATGGAGGCCGTGTTAGTGTCTCCTTTTGCTTCGCATTCAGGCCACCACTTCAATCTTGAGGTGGACATGCTCAGTTAAAGGAAATTTTCTAGCCACAATTTGAAACGGATGGCTGCATGCATATGCAATGAGGCTCAATTGAGGAGTTGTGAACGTATCCAACTCCATGACCGTAATAGTTCAGAAAAAAGGAGATGAAAAACATGGGCTAAATCCTTTCTTGTCATACTTCTGTGCACGAAATGGATAAGAACTTTGGGGCAGCTAACCAGAGTTATGGCAAAGCTAGCACACATATGCCAATGCAGCCAAAGTGCCAGGTGATCAAAGAGGCTTTCATTTTCTTTGACATTCTGTGGAACAATCAAAACCAGTCGATTTGATAGTTTAGCGGTATTAGTTTTTTTAGCACGTTTCAGGCATATATACATCAGTTTACCATCCAGCTGAATCACTTCAGGAAAGAGATAGTGAAGCTACTAAATCACTTCAGAACAGTTCCAAAATTCAGCATCACTTTAAATGTCAAGCATTAGAGCTGACGAATTGGAGATGAAGACAAATACATGAGTTCTGCAGAGTCAGTGAGGTAGGTGTTCATGAAAATTGAGTAGCCAAGAATCTGCGCATAGACTGTGGAAACAGATAGCCGTGATGAAGCACTGTAACCTATACTACAGCAACTAAAAATGCCCATGTATGGAGCAGTTTCAGTCTGAAATGGCGGCTTTAATAGTAATGTAATTTGCCTTCGAATTTTCTAAGATAAGGATTCGTGTGAAGTACTCCCTCCTTTTCAGGTTATAAGACGTTTTGACTTTTGTCAAAGTCAAATTGCTTTAAGTTTAACCAAATTTATAAAAAAAAGTAGTAACATTTTTAACCCAAAACAAATTTATTATGAAAATATATCTAATTATTGATTTGATGACACTAATTTAGTATTATAAATATTACTATATTTATGTATAAACTTAGTCAAAATTAAAACAGTTTGACTTTGACCAAATTCAAAACTTCTTATACAAGAACAAAAGTATATCTCATCCTCCCCGGCTCATATGCAACATGGTGTCCGTATTCCAAAAGTAAAATTTAAAAGTTAATTATGCTATCGACCTTTCAGTTTTACGCTACCGTTTAATTATCAGTCTTATTAAAATATTAATATAGATATAAAAAAACATGAGAACTTACCTCAGCAGATCCGCACCTGTTGGTAGCGATCGGTCGATGCCGCGAAGCGGGCTATTTTTTCCCCCCACGTACTTCGTGTGCGCCACACGCACGCACGCTCGATCGATCACTATCTCTCTTTCTCTTTCTTCGTGTCGTCGACTTCGCATGCAGCCGTCGCGTACGGCTACAGCTCGACGGCGACCCACCGGAGCTGGCTGCCCATCCGGCATCCACTCCATCGCCGCCGATGCTCAGCTCGCTACTCGTCGCGGGATGAGCAAGATAACGACGAGCGAAATCCAGCTGGACTGGACGGCGAGTCAATACTATGCTTGAGAAGAGACAGTTGTATTGTGTTGTGTGGGTTGACGATGTTGAGATGTAAGGATAGAATATGGCGATGCATGTCCAAATTTCTGGTTACAGTTGGCACAGAGGTGATCTCATAACATGCATTGTATGCAAATCATGGTTTGCAAAAATAATTTGGTCACTGATGAAAACCGTTCCTAATTAAGTGGATTTTAGTTTTATATATTATTTAACTTGGCCCCTTTGCCTAGCGGTTTCTCAATTTGTACCAGCTTGACACAAGTTCGATGACCAGAATTTCCGACCGGTCATATTCATTTGTCAACCTGATTGTACCGTGGTTGACTATTTATTATTGAAGCCTTGCAACATGGACATTTTGGATTAGAATTAGTACCTTGAGCTCCTTTCGAAAGCAACAATTTCTGTAGAATTTTAACAGGATTTAGTTGAGTTCCTTCCAAAAAAAAAAAGAAAACTCATTTCAAACTTCTCTGCTGCCAACGAACGAACAGAATGGGCTGGATTCCAACAGAGGGGCCTTTCCCTGCTAGATCAGCACGTCCGGCCCATCCAAGACTAGCCCACTTAACATATCTTATCTATGGCCCAAAGCTCACAAAACCAGAAAAGACCTCGGCCCAATTACCCCATTCCGTCCAACTCCAACTCATCCTGGCCGTCCATTCCCGATCAGAATCCGCTATATACCCTCTCTTCCACCCGCGCCACCCACTCATCCCCTTCCTCCGAAAACCCTAGCTCCACCACCTCCTCCTCCGCCGCCGCCGCCATGAAGCGCAATCCGCGCGTGACGAGCTCCCGGCGCAAGTGCCGGAAGGCGCACTTCACGGCGCCGTCGTCCGTCCGCCGCGTCCTCATGTCCGCCGCGCTCTCCACCGAGCTCCGCCACAAGTACAACGTCCGCTCCATCCCCGTCCGCAAGGACGACGAGGTGCAGGTGGTGAGGGGGAGCTACAAGGGCCGCGAGGGCAAGGTGGTGCAGGTCTACCGCCGCCGGTGGGTGATCCATGTCGAGCGCATCACCAGGGAGAAGGTGAACGGGTCCACCGTCAACGTCGGGATCCACCCATCCAAGGTCGTCGTCACCAAACTCAAGCTCGACAAGGACCGCAAGGCCATCCTCGACCGCAAGGCCAGCGGTCGCGCCGCCGACAAGGCCAAGGGCAAGTTCACCGCCGAGGACGTTGCCGCCGCCGGCGCCGCCGGGGCCTCGCTCCAGGAGATCGATTAGGCTCGGGGAGATATATCCCTTTCCTCTCTGTTCGTACCGTCTCTCCTATTATTATCATCATCTAGTTAATTTTAATGCTACTTGAAATCTGCTACTTTATCCCTGATGAAACTGTTTGTCAACGTGAGTTTTGGAACCTTATGTGGATCTAGTCTGATGCCTTGGATTTTGATAGATCAAGAACTGAACTCATTACATGTTTTATTGCTCATGCTTTAGTGAACGTTCAAATCTGATGCTGAATGGTCTCATTTTTTGTTGTTATCATGCCTCCTGTTGTTGCAATGCGTCACCATTTAGGCAGCTAGAATCGACCAGCTCCAGTTCTTCTATCAGTGAGGACTCATGCTGTTATGGCCAGTAGTTGTAATGCTTCAAGCATCTATGCAGAAATGACCAATTGACCATTCTATTTCTGTTAGTCTTAGAAAAATATTGGGCTTGTGGTTGTGTATGAGGAATATTCTGCTGCTCAGTGCTCATACAAGATTCATGAAAAAGATCACAGAATAATTTTAAGTTTAGTCTTGTTTGATCAGTTGGCTGCATTACATAAGTAATGCTGCTGATGTTTCTTTGGTGTATAAGTTGAAGCATTGAAGTTGTCTTTTCTTCTCTGAATGCATTTGAACCCGATGCACCATTTTCATGTATAATACCTGATTTGTAACTGAAGATGCCAGCTAGAATGGATGGTTCTTCTACTATCTGTAAGGACTCAGGCGACTGATGCTGTTACCGCCGTTAGCTGTAATGTGTCAAGCATATCTATGTAGGATTAGCCACTACATTTCTGTTATAACTAGACAGTAAAATATTAGGCTGTTTTGCTACCGTGGACTGCTAATACAGGGCACATGAATGGTTATGCCGTTGTGTTGTACTAGGGCCCTGTTCAGAGTCACGTAGATTGTAGCTGATGAGGCATTTGGCAGCTGATTCCTCCATGTTCTGGTTTTATTTTCCGAGAGCATCGGTGATGTTACATCCATCTTAACTCATCCTTGCACTATGAGTCAACCGGTGAAGAAACTATTGGGGGAATATTTTGTCTGAGATGCTCTGTTCCCTCCTCAGTTAGATTATTGCGTTGTTTGTGGATTTAAATGTCCCTGGGTTGATTGTGCCACTGAAGATTAACCCGATGACCCAATGTTCTGTTTTCATTTTCTTGAGTCCGAGAGCACCAGTGATGTTACATCCGTACTCATCCTTGCACTATGAGGTTACCAGTGAAGAAAAGCATTGGGGAATATGTAGTCTGAGGTGCTCTCGTTTTCCTTTCTTATGTTTTCCTTCATTTGGGGATTTCTGGCTTTTGCGTTTGGGAAAGCATTGGGGCAGGCCTAGGCATCAAAGTGAATGTGACCCGCACCCTTTGCAAGCTGATGCATGAGTAATGCTTGCTGCTGAATTTTGGTTGTTCAGAATAAAGTTTTTTTTTTGCTAAGTTTCTTTTTTTTTTGAATTTACATGAATCCTGACGCATTGGTTTCAGGTGATTACACCTTTTTGCCATAACCCAAAGGTTAGCAAAACAGAATTATTATGTCTTGCCTGTTATGTTCGTTCTGCAAGTCTCTTTTCGTATATTACAAAAAGGGAAATGCTATAAAAGCAGAGCCTTATTCTGTAACTGCAAGTAACATCGATTCTAGTATTATTTTAGTACGTTTATACCAAAGGCCATTTTCTGTTGCATTGAGTGGTTGCTACTACTAATTATTGTCTTCTTAGTAATCACCAAGTGTGCTGTTGCTTTTATGTGGAAAAAAGATTACATTTTTCTATAAAGACACGATGATAGTGTCTTCAGATCACTTGAAAATGGAAGTGCCATTAAACTCTAGACATGTCTGCAAATCCTTGTACCGTAGATACAAGACTGAATTAGACTATAGTTTCTACTCAATGATTTGTACGAAAAATAACTTTGTAAAGTTGAAAAACCGTATTTTGTTTGCTTTGAGCCAGTATCGATCACTCTTTCGAAGCAATGACAAAGTGTTACGGTGTATTCTTAACATCATTCTGAATTGGTTTACCATGCATCCATTTCTGAACATACCCAAATATTTACGAAAAATCATGAAATTTATTTCTTTGCAGAGTTCAATACTACAGTGCAGCTGATGCGAATATCAACACATCAACTAATCAACACGAACACAAGATTATTACTTCGCACTTTGACGATCATGCAGTGCAGGCGTGCAGCCATGGCCAATGAACAGAACAATTAACACTCATACCCATCATAGCATCAGACTCAAGAGGGCATGATGATTTAAGTCGGTATACGCAGTGCAGCGAGCTACGCGGCCATGGCGACGGCGGCGGCGCGGCCGCCATGTCCGAAGCGCGACACGGCGCAGTCGGCGGCGAACAGGCCGGAGGTGGCGAAGCTGTGGTCGCCCCCCAGCGTGGGCATGGACGCCCTGACGTCGAACTTGTTGACGTAGTCGGAGCGGTACGTCTGACCGACGACGCCGTGCACGTCGCCGGTGAGCGCGTCGAACTTGAACGCCAGGTCGAGGTGGGCGAGGCAGTCGTCGCCGGTGACGCCGTACCGGTGCACCCTCGAGTCCTCGGCGGTGATGGGCACGGCGTTGGCCCTCAACTTGAACCGCCCGTCGAGCGCCACGAGCACGCCGTTCGCCGCCTTGGTGCGCGTCACGGTCAGCGCCGGCACGGCGGCGGAGGTCCAGGTGGCGCCGGCGTCCTCCGGGAGGAGCACCGGCTCGCCGTCGACGATGACCTCGAGGCGGTCGACGTCGTCGTCCCAGGCGGCGGTCTTCCTGGCGCCGACGTAGAGGCGGTGGGCGCCGCCGTCGTCGAAGAGGACGGCAATGGCCTGGATCCAGGTGAAGTCGCGCGACATGCCGTCGGCGCCGCGCTTGCCGATGAAGTGCGCGTTGATGTGGAGGTCGCGGTCGGAGACGACGCAGAAGTCGGCGTCCCTCCGGCCATGGAAGTAGAAGGCGTTGCCGTCGCCGCCGATGAACCTCGGGTCGCCGCACGCCCCCGGCACGTTGCACACTGCACAACAACAGAGAGTATACGTCAGAGACAAGATGGAGGTGCAACCACTGGCGGAGAAATGCTTCGTACTTCCAGTTGGTAACCTCCTGTGTAATCCCGGTTTTTCAACCAGAAATACGAATCTAAGAATCTAAGATATCTTTATCTCTAATTTAAATACTTAGAACTAAAGATTAATCCCGATTGGTAACAATGGTAGCGGCGGCTGCTCACCGCAGACGGGCTTGCAGGCGTCGCAGTCGACGAAGCAGGAGGTGGGACACGTGTCGGGGCACTCCATCATCTTGGCGGAGCAGTAGGGGTAGAGCTTACGGCTCTCCTGGCACTTCACCTTTATCTTCTTCTTCTCCGGCTTCTCTTTCTCCTCCGGCTTACCTTTCCCCGGCGGCGTCTCCCTCTCCTCCGGCTTACCTTTCCCTGGCGTCTCTCCCTTCTCCGGCTTGCCGCCTTTTCCGGCCGGCTTAGGCTTAGGCTGGGCGGCGGCGGCGACGACGACGGCGAGCAGCAGGAACGCCGCCAATGCAACGGCGCTCAGCCTAGGCGCCATCACGACACTGTTAATTACACTCAGATTGTAGCTGCTGCTAATTAAGTAGCTAGTGATGTGTTTAGTTGCTGGTGTGATTGCATGCATGGTTGCGATGGAATTTATAGGCGATCGATGGAGTTGCTTGCTTCCAAGGTTGTACATGTCCACATGCAATATACCATGCTTTCCCAGCACGTGATTAGCTTAATACTCCCTCCATCTATTTTGATAGTCATATTTCTAAATCTGAAAATTCTATTTTTGATAGGCATATTTCAATCCAATAATCTATCTTCTTAATGACTTTCTCGAATTTAATGCATGACTTTCCATTCTTCCACACAAGATTAGCTACATGGGCATCGAGAAATGTAAATATTAATGAATCGCTTGTTTACGAGGAATTACTAGTAGCATGTTTAAATGGGTGATAAGTAGAATTAATTATCCTTGGTCTATGTGTCAAGATAAAATATGACTATGTAATAGCTTTGCATGTATGCTTGCAGCGGCAAAATTATTTTTGCTTATACATGCATGCAACCCTTTCCACTTATTCGAAGTGTCATCGCAGGATTTCCGGGTCAGCTCGATCGATCGATCGATAATTAGGTCAGCTGGTACAACAGCGTTTTTACAGGTCAGGATCGCAGGACATTGTATTGGCTAATTTTGTCGTTGCATGCCTAATTACTAGTTAATTCCACGTTTAGTGTGTAACCAATCCGTCAAGGAAAGATACATGTGCTTTAGCAGCCTAACTATGGAATGAAGCGACCCAACGTGTCAGTCACCGGCTGTGATTAAGTACATTTCCACAAAGTATAAGATCCCGTGGCTAGCTAGCTACTCTTGTATAATATTATCCTACTAATATCGGGCGTAGAAATAAACCAACACTTCTATTGGCAAATTCATGCCCTATCATCACATATTTTTGTTTTAATTATCATTTTTCTACGTTCAGTTATAATAACTGTTCGCAATTTACAGACCATTTCAACCAATGGTCAGAATTTCTTCAAATATATCCAATGAGTTTATTCTAGTCTGTAACAAAACTCGGATTGAAAAAGAATAATTCGCTCAAATTAAGGTCAAACGGATGCATGATCCTCAGATGTTAGCTGTTTGCTTGCGAAGATCGAAAAGGATGCAGGGGATGGAGTAGCGTTGACAATTGCTGTAACTGATCTGTGATGAGCTTGCAGTTGAACTGTATATTTTAGGACTTACTACTAAACATACTACTACTACTACACAAGGATCTTGACCAGTAAAGTAATTTTTAAAGTAATTTTTATTCTCTATGACGTACTGAACATATGTGCGTGAGCCGCATGTCGGCCAGCCCAGAGCAAACTAAAGCCTTAGCTACGCAATGAACATATTAATTTGAGCATTTTTTAAATACTTTCACAAGGTGACGTTCTGAAAGAAGTTTGAGAGGTTACTCAATTAGAGGCCATAGGATTGCAGATCGATGATATAGATAATCCCACACAACTCCCACGTCAAATTCATCCTGTAACTAGGGCTGTGTTTAGATTCAGGGGTAAAAATTATTGCCGTGTCACATTGGATATTTGGACACATATTTAAAGTATTAAATGTAGTCTAATAACAAAACAAATTATAGAATCCGCTTGTAAGCTGTGAGATGAATTTATTAAACCTAATTAATCCATCATTAGCAAATATTTACTGTAGTACCACATTGTCAAAATCATGGAGCAATTAGACTTAAAAGATTCGTCTTGTGATTTACACGCAATCTATGTAATTAGTTTTTATTTTATCTATATTTAATGATTCATGCATGTGTCTAAACATTCGATGTGACAGGGTGAAAAAACTTGCTAGGGAAACTAAACAGGCCCTAGGCTCCAGCAAAAATTTGCCGACCCGAGCCTAACAAAAAGAAACATTCAGGTCCAAAGACAGGCCAACCCTAGGCATATTTCGAGTCGGCCAGTTTTTTTTTCAGGTTTTGAGACAAAATGGAGGACCAGGCCGCCTGTGATGGATTGGTTGGACTGGGCTGGCTTCGAACAAACTCTCTCCGAGATTGCTATTTAGCGCAGCTATGTTTGAGTGCACAATTTCTTTTCTTTAAAAACATACATTTTAAAACTTCAATCTAAAAAACTTGGCAAATTTTGCTACAGTATATCGTCATTTCGTTGTTTTAGCTGTAGGACACCGCACAAACTCAGTTTTGGGGAAAGACACTCTATAACTGTGGCAATTTGCCAGCGGACACCGCGCCTTTTAAAATAATAAATCCGTGCTGACGAGGCGCTAGGGGGCCTAATATTTTACGCGGAGTGACCGAAATGCCCTTGCACTAGGGCCCATCTGTCACCCGGGCCCGGCTGTCAGCTCCTCATCCCCCTCCACGTCATCTTCTTCCTCCGTCGCTCGTCTCACTCTCTCCCCTCTCTCCAATCCTCTCTCTCTCTCTCTCTGCCCGACGACGGCAGCCTGGCCATCTCCTTCCCGACCGTTGAGCTCTCCCTCCCGCGCTCGGCCACCGTCCCGCTCGTCCGCGCCGCCGCACGCTCGTGCTGCTTCTTTCATGTCACCAACCACGACGTCCCGCGAGCACGGCACCGTCGCCTCCGCCGTCGCCGCCGTGCGGGCGTTCCACGAGCAGCCCGTTCCACGCGACCAGATGCCGTTGTTCGTCGGGCTCGGGAAGGGCGACTGCCGCGCGGAGGACATCGTGGAGAAGTATGGCGATCTGTAGAGGAGGTTCGGCGGCCACCTGTGGAAGGTGTACGACGGCGGCAAGTGGGACTGGAGGGAGGCCGTGGGCGCGCTGTCCCGTGCGGAATCGGCCGTGGAGGTGGACGCTGCGAGCCAGAGGCACCGCTTGATCGATCTCCTCAAGATCGTTGAGTCGAGGCTTGGGCGGCACGCGGTGGCGGACGCCGTCCGATCATGGCACGCGGCGGTGGCGGTGCGCCCGGAGCTTCCCTTCACCCGCAACGAGGGCTTCGTCGGGAGGGAGAGCGAGCTGCTCGATCTTGAGGCCGACCTGTTCGGGAAGAGACCGATGCATCTGGTCGAGGTAGAGGTGTTCGGCGGCGAGCCGGCGTTCATGGACGGAAAAGAATGCCATGGGTCCACGAAAATCATGCTTTAGTTGTGTTATTACGTTCCTAATAAGAATAGGATGGCAAAAAAAAAAGGTTGAAATGGCAAAACGTATACGGTCGATGTGCGTGCGTGCTTACAGATCCTCTTGAGCTTCTCCTCGAGCTGAGGGAGATGCTCGCTCTTGGTGACGCGGAAGTAGAAGCCGGGCGCCGGGAATACGGAGCTGGTGCTGGAGTACGCGCACCGGCAGGTGGTCGTGGCGCCACCGCGACGCGGGTGGAGTCGGGCTCGACATCCATCGCAGCGTCGGTCTCGTCCTCCGCCGCCGCGCATCAGACGAAGGAGGGGGGAGAGAGAAAAGATAGAAGAGCTGACTGGACCTAAGGGTATTTTTGACATTTCACGCGATTTCTCTCTCCTCCTCAACCGGAAAATATTATTCTAATCGGCGCGGTGTCCATCGGTAAATTATCACGTTTATGAAGTGTCTTCCCTAAAAGTGAGTTCGGGCAGTGTCTTATGGCTAAAACCACAAAATCGTAGTATCCTGTAGCAAAATTTGTTAAAAAACTTCTATTTGCAAAACCTTCAACTAAAATGAAAGGAAAAAGGAAAGGGCGGAACATGCGTCTTATGAGCTAGAAGTGTAAGATCGTGACACAGACGCGCTAATCAGCAATCCTACCCCACTACACCACCATCCTCACCTAGCAAATGCCAGTGAAGCCCATCATCTTTTAACACCAAATGTATCCTCAAGTATAACCCACCCCATCTCCATCGCTCAATCTCCTTTGTCACCACAGACCATTCTCCTCCTTCAGCTCAAGTCTCCCTCGCGTATCTTCCGCTCATTCGTTGCACATTACTCTTATCGTATGAACATGTGATTGCCATCCCACTTTCAATCTACCAATGCCCCCCAGATCATTCCTGCAACCCATTCATGAACAACACGTCGCTGCTAAAAATTGAATTTTAAAACTAAATTTTAGATTTGATTTTAAGGTATTTCGAACGTAGTTTCTTTTTTTTTATGTTTTTTTAAGTGAACACATAAAAAAATTACCCATAAATTGATTTTTCTAATAACCCATTTGGCATATAATCATCACTTGGGTAACCGATGGTGCTCCTACACACATCCAAAATATAATGCCCATCTTATTTTTGTGGAAAATCTAATTCAGTGAACTTGTCTCAGCAGAAGAAGGTGAATTTTGGAGTCCAGTGATTGTTAGCTGATCCCTTTTGTTTTAGAGGACTCTTGAATCTGAGCTCTTTTCACAATTTCCTTTCTCCCTGTTGCCTGTGCAAAATCTCTGTATTTCGAAGTGTAGATTATAGTCGTAGTAGGAATAAGCCCATATTTATGTACTTTGTGCTCTTATTTGTTCTTTTCAGATTATTTATTAGATTGTCAAAACTAATTATTATCACTATTCCAATTTAATCATCACCTAAAATTATTTAGATTTTCCAAAATGATCATAATCTAATTAGCAAAGGTTTCCCTGTTGCCACTCAGCTTACAGGCCCAAGCCGGCCTGCTTGGCCCATTGGCACCGTCGATCCGACTCAGAGACCCAATCCAACGCAGAAGAGCTCCCTGTCTCTGATGAACTTACATCTCTTGCTTGGATTTGGTGCTTGATATTATTTTAACTAGCATGGTGACTCTGCACGGCTAACATCATTATATTTTCTCTCATATAATAACATATATATTTTTTCAATGTATTATTCAAATATATTAAAATAACAACATAATTTTAAATTTTGTACTAACTTTACAAAACTACTAATGTGTAATATTCATATTGTATTTTATATACGTTTTAGTTATTAGTTATTTTTAATATTAAATTTTAGTTTTTTAAAAATTATATTCCTATATGGACTCTAGACTCGTCTTTCAATATTTCTTTTTTTTAATTCCGAATTTCCATTATCTGTAAATTGTATTTCTATATAGACTCTAGGCTCTTCTTCCAATATTATTTATTTTTAATTCTTAATTTTTATTATTTCTAATTGTATTTCTATGTGAACTCTAAACTCATCTTTCAATATTCATTAATTTTTAATTTCGATTTCACCTATTTCTAAATTGTATTTTTATATTAACTTTAGACTCTTCTACCCATGTTTCTTTTTAATTTCGAATTTTAGTTATTTGTAAATTGTATTTTTATACGAATTCTAAACTCTACTTTTACTTTTAATTTTATTATGTTTATTCCGAATTTTAGTTAGTTTTAAATTTCTATATGGACTCTATACTCTACTTCTAATATTCCTTATTTTTAATTCCGAATCTCTATTATTTCCTAATTGTATTTCTATATGGACTTTATACTCTACTTCTAATATTCCCTATTTTTAATTCCGAATTTCTATTATTTCCTAATTGTATTTCTATATGGACTCTATACTCTACTTCTAATATTCCTTATTTTTAATTCCGAATTTCAGTTATTTCCTAATTGTATTTCTATATGGACTATATACTCTACTTCTAATATTCTTTATTTTTAATTCCGAATTTCAACTATTTCCTAATTGTATTTCTATATGGACTCTAGTCTTCTCTTCTAATATTCCTTATTTTTTAATTCCGAATTTCAGCTGTTTCTAAATTGTACTCCCTCCGTCCTATAATATAAGGGATTTTGAATTTTTGCTTGTAACATTTGACGACTCGTCTTATTCAAAATTTTTTGAAATTATTATTTATTTTATTTGTGACTTACTTTATTATCTACAGTACTTTAAGCATAACTTTTCATTTTTTATATTTGCAAAAAAAAATTTGAATAAGACAGTGGTCAAACGTTACAAGTAAAAACCCAAAATCTCTTATATTGTGGGACGGAGGGAGTATTTCTATATGGACTCTGTTTTTTCTTTTTCTCCGATTAATGTGAGAATTTCTAGGCCATGAGAGCGAAAGTAGAGGCTCATTTTTCTATTCCTTTAACAATATAATAGATTTTTTGAAAAAAGATTTAAACACTGTGCTGACTGCAGGACCTAAAAATATAATAGAGCTTTTACAGTGTACTGGTCTACTGGAGTATTGTATTGTATATAACTATGGTAGTGGTAGCACTTTGGAGTAGTTGAGATGTTAAAAGGCAGAATTGAAGACGATTTACGAATCACAGCTATAGTTGTTAAAAAAAAAGGGGACTATATATAGTAGGCAACTGAGGATAAATATGAACCAAATTAACTTCTTTATTTTTTTTTAAAAAAAAGGGCTCATCGTGTATTTATGTGCAAGTGAAAACGGATTTTCCTCACTCTGCTCTATCAATACTACGAGCCAAAATTTTTACCCTCTTTTACAGAAATATATATACACACACATACAAGTTTCCCTTACCGCACGGTTAAGTGTCGACGGGTTTACCATTGGGGTGAAGTAACGATAAGAGATTAGTAACATAACCAAGTTTTTAAAATTTTAAATTTTTGGTAAATTTTGTTCGATTGTTTCACTGTTTGTGCAGTAACCATGTGGGATTGTGGGCCTGAACAGTAAGAGCATGCAGCCAGTCGTTGAGTCATCACTGTAATACCGTTACACACATTCCAGGCTTCCAGCACGATACTTTTCGACTTCGTGTAGGCTAGGCTACTTGGAATTTTTTTTGGCGCGAACAGAATATATATATAACAGAATAAAACATCTTTTAATTATTCTCCTCAAATTTTAGTTATTCTTCTTCTCCATTTCACGTGTCACATACAGCGACACAAACTCTCTGCTTAAATTCCTCGCGTTCCCTCTCCTCTCGACAAGGCTAGCTAGCACCGCCATTGCCTCTGTTTCTCTCTCGATCGTCGTCTCCATTTGGTGAAGGGAGTGGTAGATTTTGCTGCACTATTGCGTCTTCCTCTTAGACCACGAGAATGGCGGTGGCGACGGCGGCGGCCGGGCTGGATCACGCGGGCTCTTCCAGGCTCGACGCGGAGGTTTCCTCTCCGGTGGCCGGAAGCGGCGGCGGTGGCGGCGGCGAGGATGGGGCGGCGACCAAGCTGCAGAAGATGTACCGGAGCTACCGGACCCGGCGCAAGCTCGCCGACACAGCCGTCGTCGTCGAGGAGCTCTGGTGATGATTAATTAACCGGATTCTTCACCAACCTTCATGTGGAATATCTTTGCTCATCGGTTTAAGTTATTAAGTCGAACTTTGTGCACTTAGTTGTTCTTTTCAGATTATTTATTGGATTATCACCTAAGATTTTTTAGGTTTTTCCAAAATAATCATCATCTAATTAACAAAGTGTTTCTTTTGTTTATTTATGCAAAGAGTAAATGTACATCCTGAAATACTATGTGCGCAACATTTAAAGTGAATTAATTTTTTTTGTTGGACACGAAACAATGGAGTACCTAATTTTAGAATGGTAGATGTTTTGGTGTTCTTGGTTTTCGTGGTCTTCGTTTATGGGATGATCAAATTAAGATGAAGTGAATATTTACTCTACGCTTTGAATAATGCATTTTATATTATTTATATTACTTACCTATATTACTTGGACCACTTGTTTTTAGAGTAAAGTGTATAGGCGGTCCTTAAACTTATAGGGATGTGTCATCTAGGTCACTAAACTCTCAAAATGCATATCGAATTTCCGGAACTTGTCATAGTGTGTCATCTAGGTCCCAAATCGCCACAGCTCCTATAGGATCCTACGTGGCACTGATGTGGCATGCCACACGAACAAATTTTACCTTTTCTTTTTTCTTATTTTCTTATCTTTTTCTCCATCTTCTCTTTTGTTTCCTTCTCCTTTCTCTGTGACCCGAATAGAAGAGAGGGGAAAAAATAAGAATGAGAAGAAAACAAAAAAGAAAAAGAAGAAAAAGTTAGGAAAAAAGAAGAAAAGGACACGTCACGTCCATATGGCATGCCACATCAGCGCCACATAGGATCATATAGGGATTGTGTCGATTTGGGACCTAAATGATACACTTTGACAAGTTCTGAGACCTAAATCTGTATTTTGTGAGTTTAGGAACCTAGATGTCACAACCCTACAAATTTAAGGACCGTTTTATGCGTTTTACTCATTGTTTTTAAGTTATCTATTAAGTTTATATATCAAAAATATCTAATTTATCTTAATAATCAAGTAGATAATCGGTGACAACTATTTGCTCAATAATCTGTTTGGAACTTAGCCTCCGGACTTTGAGATTATGGCATGAGCATCCTGCATCCATTCAAAGTTTCAAACTGTTTAATTTGTGTAGAGAAAATAGAAATCTAAAAGTAATCAAATTTTTTAACCGAGAAATTAAGTTTGTGGGTTGGATTGTTTGAAGGTGGCAAGCGCTGGACTACGCGCGGCTGAGCTACAGCACCATCTCCTTCCACGACCCTAACCCGGAGACCGTCGCCTCCCGCTGGAGCCGTGTCAGCATCATTGCTTCCAAGGTCTCCTACTTCCTTCCGTTTCTCAGTTGCTGCTACCTGCAGCCTACCACAAAATTCCACAAGAAAAAAAGAAGGCATTCTTTTGGTTAAGAAAAAAAGGAGGCATTCTTTTGGTTTGTCTGGTCTGCATCTCCTTGATTAATCTTCTGTTTGTGTCGAAATTGCTGTAAAAAATCTGAGCTTTGATGCAGGTGGGTCAGGGTTTATCAAGAGACGCCAAGGCTCGGAAGCTGGCATTCCAGCACTGGATCGAGGCTGTAAGTACAACAGTACAAATCTACTAGTGTTTTTTTTTTACCAGTGTTCTTTACTTGATCAGGTATTAGTGTATTACTAGTACCTTTATGGTTCAGAAATTAATGGTATTTGTTTTATTGTTTTATTATATATATACACGTGAAAAGAGGCTGCTATCAGTTGACTTAATTGGACTTGTAGTTCGTCAGGTGTGAGCATGAATACATCATCGCTCATGAGAAAGCTTCACAGCTTATCATGATGGCGTGATGGAAGCTTCTGCTTCTGCTTTTTTTCGTTCATTATGTGAAACTTTTGATGCACATATGCAATTATGACAGCAATTATCATTCGTTGTATAGATTGACCCACGGCATAGATATGGTCACAATCTGCAGTGCTACTATGATGTCTGGTGCCAAAGCCAGGCCGGCCAGCCTTTTTTCTACTGGTGAGAAGTTGACTGTGATTTGTGTGCTTGCATTTGCAAACTACTCCATGTCATTGGAATAATTAAACTGGTTGGATGTGTCTGACAAAAAGAGATTAATTTGCAAATAGAATGCATTAAGTTCAGTGTTGCACTGAATCACATAAATTTCAGTAAGTGGTTTGATTGTGCAGTGATTTCAGTAATGTTCTTTTTGCAAATGTAGGCTTGATATTGGGGAGGGAAAAGATGTTGACCTTCCTGAGTGTCCAAGAGCTCAGCTGAAGAAGCAATGCATAAAATATCTTGGTCCGGTAAGATCATTTCTATAGTTGCTGCATATATAATCCTTGACAACTGAAACAAACCATTAAATTCAGCAACCTACAAAATTGTAACATGAAAATATTGTTAGTGAGATCTATATTTTTGCTTCCTACCTACAGATGGTTCTAACAATTATATATATCTGATGCATGTTTTGCAGCAAGAGCGTGAGCAATATGAATACATCATTACAAAAGGAAAGATTATCCATAAGTACTCTGAAGAACCCCTTGATACAAGCCAAGGGTCAAAGTGGATTTTTGTTATGAGCACAACGAAGAGACTTTATGCTGGCAAGGTGGTTTAATTTTCTCCGTGCCATAAGGATTTTGTGTTCGTTAGTGCTGATTTACTCATATAAGCTGGTAGCTTAATTAGCATCTCTATAAATATTTACTCATATATATAAGCTGATTTATTCATGCAGAAAGAGAAAGGTGTGTTCCAGCACTCGAGCTTTTTAGCAGGAGGTGCTACCATAGCTGCTGGGAGGTTTACAGCAGAAAATGGAGTTATCAAGGTTCATTATTGTTTGTGCACTGCATTTTACTTTCCTGATATGACAGTTTAGCATGCATATCCTTTTGTGACAAATATTAGACAATGCCTGGATGGATTTTATAAATATTTTCGCGTAAGTGGTTGAAATTTGTATAGTGGATCAAACTGGTCATTTAAATTTACCTATCTTTTATCGTTGCTAAATCAAAATATCTACTTACATTATCGCATTTTCCCAATATAACTCCCACAAGATTCTTCAGATTTTTTTTTCTTTGATCAATTTACTTAGTTACGACTTACAAGGACATCAGAATGGATTATCTAATCTTCTGGTCGCAAGCACATTATAAGAGAACATTTTGATAATTTTCATATGACTTGTTCATGATTCTGTTCCTTGGGTGCATTAATCAGCACTTTTTTCTATCTCTGATGATCTATTCTGATTTCAGTCCATCTGGGCCTATAGTGGTCACTACAAACCAAGTGCAGAGAACCTCAGCAACTTCATGAACTTCCTAGAGGAGAATGGAGTTGATCTCAACAACGTGGTACACCATATTTCAGGCTAAGTATTTATGAAATATATCAAATGCATGGTTTCAATCAATGAGTTCTTATTTGTGTATATATTCAGGTGCGCCCATCCGACGATGATGCTTAGTATGAAGAACCAGTTCCTAATAAAGTTCAGAGCCCTATCACTGCCATCATTGAATCCAATCCTCCACAATTGATTCTCCCACAAAACATGGTACTAGAAAACAAGGCATCTGGGTCATCTTCACAAGTTGAAGGTGCCGAAGGCGACAATGCTGCCACAGAGCAAGCAAAGCCAACCTACCAAAGAACCTTATCAGGTGGGCTACAAAGCCCTAGAGCCACCATCGACGTCCCGCGGAAAGCGATTCTTGAGAGGGTGAAATCCAAGAGGGAATCAAGATCCTATCAGCTTGGCCACAAGTTGTCCCTGAAATGGAGCACTGGGGCTGGTCCAAGGATTGGATGTGTGAAGGACTATCCAATGCAGCTCAGGATGCAGGCACTGGAGATGGTGAACCTCTCACCGAGGGCTTCAGCTCCTTCAATCTCAAGGAGGCTACAGGCAAGCCTATCACTCTCACCCAACTTACCAACACCTCCTGAGTTTACAACAACCCAGATGGCTGCCCCAACTAAGTTAGAACCGGCAACGAGTATCTAATTAACCAGCGTGCACGAGTATCACTATACTTGGTACATCTATACTGGTATCTGAGTGGAAGACACTTAATTGATTCATGTAATTTACTGGTTCATTTCTGGTACTATGTTATGTGGATCCATTTATGATCGAATGTTTTTAATAACTCTTCGCTTGTGCTTTTGTGTGCTGACTGACACTGATGCACGCAGAAACAGCTTCAGCACCAATATTCCCTCTCCACCAATTAGCTAGGCCATTTTGTCTCTAAAAAAAATCAGGCCATTACCTTTTTGCATTTGATGTGATAAGATATTTGATTACGACAATCTGGAGAGCAGAATAATTAGGCGAAAGAGCCAAATGAATGAACTAAATTATATAAACTGTTGCAAAAGTTGTTCCACTCTTATCCTATCCATCAGGGTTTATAATTGGAGCATTTGAGCATTTTTACTGTCCTTGAGGAGGTGCCATGAGGTACGAGGTACCAATCTAATCTAGCCGTTAATTTAGCAGGGGTAAGATCGTAAGATCGGGTTTGAGCCCTGCCGCTAATCACCGCCCTGCTAACCAATCACTTGGTCTCTTCCTTCTGCTTCTGTTTCTTCTCTTCGTTCGCATCTGCCGCTGTCGCAAGTAGATCGAGACCGTAGTGGCTGCCGTCGCTGTCTTCCCTCACCCGCCATCGCAGAGAGCCGCCGCGGCCGCCGGCGCATCGAGGGTTCCGGCCATCGCATCGAGCCCCCGCGGCCGCCGTCGCATCGAGGGTTCCGGCCGTCGCATCGAGCCGCCGCGGCCGCCGTCGCATCGAGGGTTCCGGCCGTCGCCGCCGCCACCCGGCGTCGCATACAACTCGCCGCCTCTAGCACGGCACATCGGCCGTCGCCTCCACCCAGCCCCATTGGCTGTCGCATCCAACCGGAAGACGCCAGCATCGCTGGGACAACTGTGGAACATTGACGCCGCCGCCCTAGCTGTCAGTACGCCCTCAACCGCAGGTAATTAGCAAGCACTAAAAATGATATGTGCAACATTTGTATTGTTGTTTGTAGTTCATTTTCTAGTTGAAGCAATGCATGAAGTAGTCACGAAAGTGGTCATACTTATTGGCAGGTTTACTGTGTTGTGTGCAATGGAAGGCGGTGGTAGCAGTATTGAGGAGCAGGAAGAGTATGCTACGATAATAGGCATGAAATTTCCTAGTGAGTTGCATGGTTTTCAGTTCTACAATAAGTATGCTAGAGAGAGAGGTTTTAGTGTAAGGAAGGATTACTGCAGGCGTGATCGTTTTAGTGGGATAATAATTCATCGTAGATTCACATGCTCAAGGGAAGGATTTAGAAAGGAGTTATATATGGATGTTTCCAACAGAAGTAGGGAGCCACAGGCACTAACTCGTTGTGGTTGCAAAGCTCAGTTTGAGATTAAACTATATCAGAAAGAAGGTAACTGGTATGTCGTTAGGTTTGTGTCGAAGCATAACCATCCGTTGTGTAAAGGTGATCAAGTGCCATTTCTCCGCTCACATCGTAGAATAACTCCTGCAGAACAGGCTAAGATGGTAGAATTGAGAGATGTAGGTTTGCATCAGCATCAAGTGATGGATATAATGGAGAGAGACCATGGTGGTTATGAGGGTACTGGTTTTACTTCTAGGGATATGTACAATTTTTTTGTGAAGCTGAAAAAGAAACGGATTAAAGGTGGAGATGCTGACCATGTTCTTAAGTACATGCAAGCACGGCAGAAGGATGATATGGAGTTCTATTATGATTACGAGATAGACCAAGCAGGATGCTTGAAGAGGCTATTTTGGTCGGACCCGCAATCAAGGATAGATTATGATGCATTTGGTGATGTTGTTGTGTTTGATAGCACATATCGTGTAAACAAATACAATCTCCCCTTCATTCCTTTTGTTGGGGTCAATCACCATGGGTCAACTGTGATATTTGCATGTGCTGTAGTTTCAGATGAAAGGGTTGAGACATATGAATGGGTCCTACGCCAGTTTTTAACTTGTATGTGTCAGAAACATCCCAAGTCTGTGATCACTGATGGAGACAATGCAATGCGTCGGGCAATCCTACATGTGTTTCCCAATTCTGACCATAGGTTGTGCACCTGGCATATTGAGCAAAATATGGCACGGAACCTTAGTCCAGCCATGCTTTCAGATTTTAGAACACTTGTGCATAGTGAGTTTGATGAAGATGAGTTTGAAAGAAAGTGGGTAGAGTTTAAGATTAAGCATAAGGTATCGGACGACAATAAGTGGTTGAAGAGGATGTATAATTTAAGGAAAAAGTGGGCAGCAACATACACTAAAGGGAGGGTTTTTCTCAGCATGAAGAGCAATCAACGCAGTGAAAGCTTGAACTCAAAACTTCATAGGTTGTTGGATCGTAAGATGAGCCTAGTTATTTTGGTGGAGCATTATGAACATTGTTTGTCGCGTATCCATCACCAAGAGGCAGAGTTGGATGCAAAGGCTTCACAATCAGGTACCATTTACTGCTAATGAAGCTACACTAATTGAGAAGGATGCAGCACGTGTGTTCACGCCTAAAATTTTCAAAAAGGTGAAGGTTGAGATATACATGGGCATCAATTGAGAGGTAATAGATACCATCGAAGAGGACCAATGTGTAAGGTATGTATTGCATTTGATTGGAAAAGATAAAATTGTCATTGTGACCTGCATGTTTGAGGAAGCATTACTGTGTAGCATGGCCTGTCCTTGCCGGAAAATGGAGTGTCAGTACATACCATGTCATCACATATTTGCAGTTTTGAGTTATTTACAGTTAGAGGCCATACCAAGCTTCTGCATAGCACGACGGTGGACAATGCAAGCAAAATCTGCATTTCCTTCAGATAGGTATGGTGAAGTTTACACATGGTCAGACCAGATGGAACGCTATCGTCAACTACGAACAGTGGCTAGTGAAGCTTTTTTCCGATGTTCCATGACAGAAGAAAGTACACTGAAGGTGATGAAAATGCTAGATAATTTGATGCTTGAAGATGACTGTAGTGCAAATTGTGACAACTTTGAGATTCAGTTTGGTCATGTGGTTCGTCAAAGTATGCGCACTGACATTGAAAGTAGTGAGAAAGTGCTTGATCCAGAACTAGTTGTCCCTAAAGGAGCTCCTACAAAGAGAATGAGAGGTTTCTTGGAGAAACGCAAGAGGAAATGTGGGTTTTGTCGTTTGACGGGACATACAATAAGAACTTGCCCTGTTTACCTAAGGCAAGTTGTCCTATTTGTTATTAACCTCTTCATAAAGCTAATATTGTTTTATTCACTGAAATTGTAATGTTACTTTGAACATAGTACTTTCAGTCCACGAAGACATAAGACGTCTTGAGTCTGAACATGGCAAACTACATGAAGCGTCTACATCTCAAGTTACCAATAGGATTTAGGGACTTATATTGCAACACTGTGTCTACATCTCAATTTTTCTTTCCAACCATGTCTTTGAATCTATCGGTTCTGATTGTCCCAACTGTATGAACTATTTTGACAATTTCAATCTATCACCACCGATTTATTGGGGGAAATATATAATACCCATACAATGAATAAAAAACCACAAAAAGCAACCAATTAACACACACCTTATGGATCAGTTTTCTCCCTCACTCTGCATGTTGTGCCACGCATCGAGGCCGCTGCCCGCAGTGGCCGACGATTCACCGTCGCCGCCGACGATGCAGCCCCGGCCGCCCGCCGTCACCGACGAATCATAGCTTCAACCATTGCCGGGCTCCCGCCGACGAATCGCCGCCGCCAACGATGCAGCGCCGCCTACGCATCGAGGCCGCTGCCCGCAGTCGGCGACGATTCGCCGCCGCCACCGCCGATGCAGCGCCGCCGTTGCATCCAGAAAAGTCGCGTCCGCTGTCGCCGACGAATCACCACCGCCACCGATCCAGCGCCGCCGACGCCGGCCGTAGCCGTCGAATCGCCAAGGCTTCCCGATTTGGGCCGCCATCGCTCGCCCTTGGCATTTAGGGTTTGTTTGTCTCCTGCTCCTGCCCGACGAATACGAGGCTCTATTCTCTCGCGATACAGAGAAGGAAACAGATAACGCGAAAGTACAAAACTACCCTCCCACACACGGTACTGTTGTGATACGTACGTGCGGTACGACGAGGTACCATCGATTTTGGACCGTCCGATGAGGCCAGATCAATGGTCAGGATTTGGTAAGGATGGGAAAGATGCTCTTATAATTGAGGGTCGAAAACTAAATTAAACCAATCCCCAAAAAAAAAGGTGCCATCTAATCCTCAGCAACCACAATTCTAGCTGGAGATCGGTTAAGTTCAGTTGCAATTTTTGGACGCCGAAGCCAATTCAACCAGAGTTAACTGCTAAATGGCATTCCCAATTGTGAGAAAAATATTATACTGCTAGTTTCCATCACACGATGAATGGGAGATTCTCCAGAGTATCACTCGCATCCGCCACTAATAATTCTCTACCAAATTACAGACAACGGGAGATACATTTCAGAAAGGGCGATAGAATTTACTTACGCGTGGGCGCGCGCGGCGGTATCCTGCTCAGGGAAGTGGTCCTCGATGGCAGCCGTAGCCGGTGAGCTCGAGCTCGGACGGCGGCGCCGGCGATGGGAGTCCTTGACGTTTGTGCCCAAGTTGCCAACCCACGTAGAAGATCACTTCCCCTTAGATCAATACAGGGGTAGCTCCGGCGGAGACTGCAGGCGGCGGAGGCGGCGGTGATGGAACGGGCCGGACTGGGTCAACTGATACCAGTAGTTTAATCGAAGCCCAACATGGCCACGTGCGTGATTACAGGCTACTGGCCCAGAACATATTGGGCTTCAAGCCCAGTACACGTTGGTGTCTTTCTAGGATAAAAGAAGTAAAGAAGGAATAAGTTTATTTGTCATCCCTCAACTTTACGTCGAGTTTGATTGACATCCCTCAGCGGTGATTTTGCTTCACATGTTCTTCCGAAGCACCGCAAATGTCCCCAAATACTGCAATACATTGCTACCCTGCATAGGACATCGCAAAGCAGGGCATTGCAAAGTAAACTTACATCTACAAATATTCCTCAGTAAAACGGCATTGTATTTGTAGATGTAAGACTAGGCTAAAAACAATGGCAAGACTAGGTTAAAAGAAAAAAAAAACTCCTGTCTTTTGATCGGGAAACAATAGGGTGGTAAGCACTGAAAACCTGATCACTGATCATGATGCCCTCTGTGACCCTGTTCGTTCGTCCATCTTGCTCCCGACAGCTTTGTATTAAAACTGTAACCCTGTGTCGTTCGTCCTTTGTTCTTCTTTTCCATGGCGCGTCGCATGATCACCGTAGCTGCATTTGGCTTTAGCTTACCCAGCTAGCATCTGTTACAACTTTCTCTGAATATATACCATATCCTCTTTGCCTCTTTGCAGCATATGCTCTGCTTCATCATCTTTTTCCGCTGTAATTAACCTGAAGAAACGTGGCTGGAGATGATGCAGACACGCTGGTTTCATCTAGAAGTACGCACCCAGCCAGAAACGAAATCTGAACAAACAGCAGCTGCCAGTCTGCCACTGCACGGTAGCAGTGTGTGACAGTGTGATGGATACTGTCGTGCATACTGATGCGGTGCAAAGCGAAATGCAGGATTCCATTTAGCAATGATCGCCACTGCATTGCTCCTCTCGCCATATTCTGTCGCCCGGTTGCCGGACACCCACAACTGTACTCACTCCGTTAAAAAAAAACGAATATAATATTAGATATGACATATTATCATAGTAAAATAAATCTAAACATGTTATATCTGGTTCTAGATTGATTTTATAGAACGAAGGGGTACGTATCAGTAGCATTTTTTTATTAAGATATAGAGTACATATTTTATCTTAGTTTCTATTAACATGCTTTTAACATGTTAAACGATGTTTTTTTATAAAAAACTTTTTATATAGAAATTACTTAAAAAATATCAAATCTATTTTTTAAATTTATAATAATTAAACCTCAATTAATTACTCTCTTCGTCTCAATATATAAATATTTTTAGCATAGTGTCAAGTTAAACATTTTTAACTTTGACTATTAATAGAAAAAAAATAAAAAGATCAATCATTTAAAATTGATGTTACATGATTTATCATTAAACAAACTATGATAATATGCAACTCTTTTAATTTAAAACATCTTATTTTTACAGGTATTGTTGGTCAAAGTACTATCTCGAAGACTATATTGAAGTCTAAAAATACTTCTATTTTAGGATGGAGGAAGTATATGTCAATGAATTTCTCGTTTTGAATGTGCTGTCTTTATCTTCATTTTAACATATCTCAAAGATAGCATCTCTGAACTAGCATCATCTCATTACTCTTCCTATAAATTGGTTGCCAAAACTCAAATTTAGAGTTGATGTTTGGGAGTTCTTATTTTCCATGTGGCTTACTTTTCGGTGTTAACTCAATTTTAAACTACGAATAACACAGGTTAAAACTTTTTATTTGTTTGTTCATATGTCATTTTACAGTTTATCTGTTGTAGACTGAAGAATATTTTTAAGTTTTATCCACAAATTATTATTATTTTATTGCTTATATGCAGTTTTACGGCCTGTCAGCGGTAGACCGGAAGAACAAATCTTACTAGTAAAAAGAATTCATAAATACAACTCACCACTGAGCAACATGTTTCAAAGTTCATAGGAATTTTGCGGGGTTACATGCTCGAAAAGTCCAAATGGGCCTAAAATATTTGTATATACTAGTATAGCACTATGGAGATACTCGTTAATAAGTTCTTTTTTGGTGAGACAGTCACCAACCAGGCAAGTGACCACGTTCAGACAAAGTCAGATACGCGCAGCAATAATTTACTCCCGTCCGGGGGGACACGCACCCGGCAACTATTTGGCGCGACAGCGCGGCGCCCGCGTGCGCGCCATGCCAGTTCGGTTCGCCGCCGTCCCGCGTCCCCCACCACGTGCGCCGGCAATGGCGGCTTCCTCCCTAGCTTTGCACGTTCATCCATGGCAGCTTCCTCCATTGGGATAGCCTGTCTTGTCTTGTCTAGTAGTACTCCACGGGTGTGCCGGGGCAGCTGTCGTCGTCGTATGACATGTCAGCGTTCGCGGCGGCGGCGTTCGCGGCGGTGGCGGTGGCGACGCTGAACGGCGGGGGAACGTACGGAGGCGTGGCGCAGCGGAGGAGCGCCCAGTTGACGCCGCTGAAGAAGGGGTGCCGCTTGATCACCGCGGCGCCGACGGTGGCGCCGAGGCGGCGCGCCGGGTCCTTGGCGAGGAGCGACGTGACGAGGTCCTTGGCGGCGGCGGAGACGGGCGGCTCCCTGGGGAACTCGAGCGCGCGCGCCACGATGTTCGCCAGGGTCATCTCGTTGTCGTGGCCCTTGAACGGCGTCACGCCGTAGAGCAGCTCGAAGACGAACACCCCCAGCGTCCACCAGTCGACGGAGCTGCCGTGCCCCTCGCCGGAGACGATCTCCGGCGCGAGGTACTCGTGCGTCCCGACGAACGACATCGACCGGAGCTCCACCGGCTCCGCCACGAACTCCAGCTCCAGCCCACCGGAGGGGAAGCTGCTGCCGCCATTGCCGCCGCCGCCGCTCGACGGCTTCTTGCGGCCGCGCCAGCGGCGGCGGCGGTGGCGCCCGCGTCCTGGGAAGAGCTGGAAGCACGACACGGCGGGGACGATGCAGGACGGGATGATGCACGACGAGGAGGAGGAGGAGGAAGACTGGCCGCCGGCGAGGGCGATGGGGTCCGAGATGACGTGCGCCGGCGTCGGCGCCGTCGGGTCGCACTTGAGCGAGAGGTCGAAGTCGGTGAGCATGATGTGGCCGTCGGCGCGGACGAGCACGTTCTCCGGCTTCAGGTCACGGTACACGATGTCCACCATGTGGACGTACTCCAGCGCCGCCACCACCTCCGCCGCATAAAACCTACGCAAAACAACACATTATCACCATCATTAACAAGCTCCCAAAACTAACATTAACTTTTGAATCGTTTAGCAACTTCTAGCATATGCAAAAAAAAAAAAACAAGTTGGCCATGGAAGATAAATTCCATTGAAAATCTTAACCTTCACACCAAATTTAAGTTTGTGTTATTAAATTAAGCATTCACCAAACATTTTTGCTTTTAGAGAATTCACCAACCAATTCTTAGGCTGTGTTTAGTTCTCTTTAAACTTCCAAAAATTCCATCACATCAAATGTTTCGACACATGCATAGAGCATTAAATGTGGACGAAAAAAACAATTGCACAGTTTGCATGTAAATTGTGAGACAAAACTTTTAAGCCTAATTACGCTATGATTTGACAATGTTGTGCTACAGTAAACATTTGCTAATGACGAAATAATTAGGCTTAATAGATTCGTCTCGCAGTTTACAGGCGGAATCTATAATTTGTTTTGTTATTAGTCTACGTTTAATACTTCAAATGTATGTCCGTATATACTTTAAAAAAAATTGAAATGGAACTAAACACGGACTTAACAACTTTGCAACTGTATACAAAGCAAGGCTATTGCATACTGCAACTGTATCTGAAGCATGGAAGTGAATCCCTTGACTTTATTCACATGTCACCTCAACCAACCCACATATTTGTGTATCAACTAACGACAAATCCAACTGTATCAACTATCAGCACTATTTGCATTGATACACAGACATGCATGGATGCCACAGTGTGATCCAGTACAACAAAGGAAAAGGTCACAAGGGAGCAGAGGAGTGAAAAGGTTTCAGACAGTACTCGAACTAGTGCATCATTGATGTTGGAGGTTTGCACGTTCCAAAGCTGATTAGGATAACTTAATGGCATAAAGGGGATGCAGCTCATGTGTGTGCACTCAATTGTTAATTCCTTGGGTTAATTAGATTAATCCTTACAGCAAGTACCATACTGGCTACTAGGCTACTACCCCATGTTGATCTCGACTGAATCCATTTATTCATAGGCTCGTATGGTTGGCTGTGATTAACACTCATCACATGGGTGTTAGTTAAAGTTTCTCTGACCAATGGCATCTATAATTCTCTACTTATGAGGCTATCAGAGAGTGATTTATCATGTTCTCCGAACGGTTCTTGCGCCGTAGTGCAAGGGCTTTGGCTCGTGTCACACAGGCATTAGCACAATTAATCTACCTGACCGTGCGGTTGATTGCAATGTTGTTGGTCCTAGGTAGGAGTGTGCTGTGCTTGTACCATCAGAATTCACAATTCACAAACGCCGTTGTAAACTGCTACTGCTCATCTACTGGTACAAGTGTACAATTATCCCCCCGTAAATAGCGGGATTGGCCATTGATTCATCTTGGTAGGAAATCCGTGTCATGCAATTCTGTATTTGAGGCCGTACGTACTACAACTCGTCTAATAAATCAATTCTTGAATTCATGGATCGCTTTGTACTGCCAAAGTGTCAATAACTTCAAAAAATATATATATGTTGGTCTATGATGTTGTGGTGTTTTTGTTAGTTGGTCTTAGATTCTAGCAACACTGTTAATATATTGTGAAATGAAGAAAAAAAAATAAAACATTGGTAATTGGGGATGATCTGGCAAAGCATGTAGGTTGAGTTGACTACAGCTCTGCAGGTGAATGCTATGGCCGGACTACTTACTAGTCTGTCTAAATGAATATAGCCACATGATGCTGTAATGGAGCAAACGTAACCGAATAATTCTACCAGTATTTTCTATCAGTACACAGCTTAGTAAAGTTGACGTGTTTTTGTCTCGTAATCTCTGGCATGGCCTACATCAAAGATATTGCACAGGGAAAGTACGGCGGAGATTAATTCTGTGTCTTAAGTTTATTCTGGAAGGAAATTACTACGACATCAGTATCTGTGTATAGTGGGAAGATAATAATATTGGCAGGCAGTGATCATCATCGATCTAAGAGGCAAGTAAAAAATTCAGATTTGTGATGCAAATTAAGCAGCCTAATTTCCTGCAAGGGACAAAGACTGCAAACTGTTCATGCGACAACAACAGCTTGACTTCCATATGAACAGTCTTAGCTTCAGAAATTCAGAAGGCCACTGCAGCCACAGGTGTGGATGCACAAGCAAACACACCAATACCAATAGTGATTAGTGAGTGATTGCAAGGTGATATGGGCGTGCGATTGTGTGTTTGACCGCGGTGCGGCTCACGATATGGCACGAAAACAAGAAACTGTACAGTGACAGTGACCCAGTGATCGAGCTCCCATCCATGATGCTCAATCCTTCACAATGTCTACAAAGATGCTTTTTTTTTTCCTTTTTCTGAAGAAGAAAATATTCTCCTCCTCATAAGTCAGATTCATGCATTAATTTGAGGCACTCTTAAGTGTAATTTTTTTGGGGTTATAAAAGAATGAATCCAAAGGGCAGCTATCATCAAACAGCATTATCCATGTTGTTATGATGGAACACAATTCTGGCAAAAAAAAAAAAACCTATTCGATAAAAACGGCCGATGCATGGCTGACAGAAGACACACGGGCCAAACAATGCACAGAAGAAGTACAGAACAAGTGTTGCTTCATCCACTACTAGATCATTAATAAAACAAAATATAATTTATACGAAAAGGAAACAGGAAAAGAAATGCAGATAAAGTGAAACCAAAGTCAAGAGAAATCGCAGGAAATCAGCCACATTCTTCTCCCAAAAGCCTAAGAATAAGATCAATCACTACCTTACTACTCCAGCTACAACTTCAGTCACAGTCCACGCCTTAAAAACGGCATAAAAAAAGTGATTTGATCGAACATTTTTACTAGCATTTAAAAAAATTATAAATTAACGATGTGGTGATCGATCGATGCCACAGAAATCGAGCAGTTCACAAAATTGTTTCAAAAAAGAAATCATTTCATCTGGGTGAGTGAATGCGTGCACAAGACAAGCGGTGGTGGTGTACCTGACGGCGGACTCGGAGAAGCGGCGGTGAGGCTGGCGCTGGCGGAGGACGTGGAGGTCGCCGCCGGGGCAGAACTCGGTGAGGAGGCAGGACCAGCGATCCCCCTCGGCGACGCCGAAGAGGCGGGGGAGGAAGGGGTGGTCGACGGCCTCGAGGATCTCCCGCTCCGTGCGGGCGCGGCCCTCCTTGTTCCTCCCCTCCAGCTCCTTCCTGTCCATCACCTTGGCGGCGACCAGCGCCGTCGCCGCGCCCCTGACCTCGGCGAGGTAGACGCTGCCGATGTCCCCCGCGCCGAGCCGCTTGAGGAAGCGGATGTCGGAGAGCGCGACGGCGCCGAGGCGGGGCGGCGTGGTGGTGGTGGTGGTGGTGGAGGTGGTGGTGGCGGTGGAGACGGTGGAGGCGGAGCGGGAGCGGGAGCGGTCGGAGGAGGCGAAGCTGAGGCTCTGCAGCTCGTCGGCCGCCGGATCGGGCTCGCCGCCGGGAGGCATTGCAATGTGCTGTGGTGTGGTGGGTGGTGTTGGAAATGGCGGAGGCAGAGGAGGAGATGGATGGGTTGGTGCGTTGCGTTTTTAATTTGAAGCGGAGAGGTGAGGAGGCGGAGGTTGACGACGATGGGCTGGGCCGGATCATCCGCGTCCGTTCCGCGCTTGATTTTTTTTTTATTTTGTTTTTCTGGATTTCCGGGCCCCTGTTCTCCGGGATGTGATCAAGGAACACCAACATTGCTAATTTGCAGCTTGATCCGATTATTAAATAGATATTTAACTATCTTTACTCTTATACGCGTGGTATTTAACAATTTACCATCAGACCCACATGTCATAAATACATAAGGATCCACTTGTCATTGACATATGAGCAGTGACAAATGCAGCTTTAAAATATAGATGGGACGGAGAATAGAGATGTTCACTCCATAAGAGCAGGTATAATAGCTCTATTAAGTTGGCTTCAAAACCTGATAATCAGCCTAATCTGAGATTAGGGAAAGAAATTCACCAAGAATGAAACAAGGCGCTTGTTTTAGCGCCGGCGCTTGCATAGCGCCCCACACCATATAGCTCGCATGCAGCCAGGAGAGACAATAAAAAATATGTTATGTGGGTCCCAACAGCTGATGTATCCATACAAGTATTTAATGTATGTATGCTTTAACCAAGGCAGCTCATAACTAACTTGTAGTTAGCTTGTTGTATAAGTTAGCTCTACTTGACATGACAAAATTTTAGAGCTTGCTGCTAGCTGCACTATTAATCTTGCTCTAAGAGCAATCGAACAAAACACATATCGTATTTATAGTCAATCGCATAATTATCTCGATCATTGTTTGTGGCGTGTGTATGTTTTGAAGAAACAAACTAATTTGTTGGACGTTCACACCTTGTTATACCTAATTTTGATAGCCCATGACTGCTATAAAGGGGTAGGGGGTCTTGGGGTGTAGAGCGATACGGGTTGTAGCTGGGTCGGTCGATCTACTCTGCCTAATGGGTAGATCCGCCCCTGCATATGAGTAGCAAATTGTTAAACGTCAAATTAAAAAGTGATAAATAGTTAAATGCTCAATTATTAAATCCTTGCTCAACGATGAGGAGTTTTTCTTCCAAATACACTCATCTCATCAAAATAAAATTCTATACATACACCATATTCCTATTAACGTTTTTTATTGGTTTGGATATGTCTGTTTTAAATGTCTCCCTATCGATGTGTATGTTACATTTCATAAAAAAGAAAAATTAGCTGTAAACGCGCTGAGTCGAAAACTCGAACTCGGATAGGAATGTTTTACCATAAGAAAGATATCCAATTGAGCTCGCTCAGCGCGTGAACGCTGCGGAAGTTTTTGATACGTAATTGCAAATCCAATAACGATTCATGGCTCAAGAGAATGGAAGGTTTAAGGTTGACGTCGATGAGTTCAATCAAATCAACCGGAAGAACATTGTGCAAAAATCAAATAAACAAGCAGAAGCAGCAGCCGCGGCGAATGCACGGAATCTGGCAAATAAAGGCGAAATTATTTGAGGTTGGCAGTTTGCGTTTGAAATCAGACGTAGCAGGGTACGCAGCCAGGGAGGCTACTGGCTATAGCAATGGCTGCAGTTTGTGAATGGATTGGCCTGCATTGCGTGGTTGGTGTGGAATGGATTCGAAGGCGTGAGTCCAAGTGTAGCCGGGACAACCGACTGGACCAAAGGAAGGGTTTGCTTGAGAAGCATGTGATATCTGCAGCTTCACTCAAAATTTAAAATTCATTTAAACAGTGTAATAATATGCAGACTAAAAAAATGGCAGTTTATAAATCTAGAAAATAAACTAAAAATCAGAAATTGCGTTTTTCCATTTTTCAGTTTCTCCAGATTCTTATAAGTCTTTTTTTTTGAACTAAAGGCAAAGCTTGCCTATTCATTGAATATAGATGGCAAATTTACAGGTAAGGAAAAAGTAATATTAGATTCTTATAAGTTACTTCCTCCGTCCCATAATATAAGGGATTTTGAGTTTTTATTTACACTGTTTGACCACTCGTCTTATTCAAAAAAATTATACAAATATAAAAAACGAAAAGTTGTGCTTAAAGTACTTTAGAGTAAGTAAAAAAAAAAATAAATAATAATTCCAAAATTTTTTGAATAAGACGGGTGGTCAAACAGTACAAGTAAAATCTCAAAATCTCTTATATTATGAGACAGAGGGAGTAGCTACCAACTAGCTATTTATCATAATTTTAAACTATTTCAAACATGATCGAAGAAAAGTCCTTTATGATCGATTGAGCTACGATTGATAAACCATAGAAACATAAGCAAAGCAACCAAAAAAAATAGTTTATAAGTAAAAATTTTTACATTTATATTCTTAATGGTTTAAAAACCAAGGCTGAAAAATTGAATATGATGGAAAAACTAATGTTAGATTCAATTTTAAATTTTGGTTACGAAGATAAGCCAGCAAGAAAACGATAAAAGCCGATGAGCTCCTCCCCATTGCAGACCTTTTTTCTCTTACTTTTCTTTTAAACAGAGTGTTCTAAAAATCTCAAGGTCCCATGTTAGGATTGGCGTATCATATATTTTTAAAACAATGATGATTGGATGGATGTGTCGGGGGTTCAGTTCAGGAGTTGGTGTGATAGTCTGATACTCTGAAATGGGGTCGGTTTCTTCAAGACAAGGCCATATGTTTTACAATTCAGAGGTTCATCGATCATCGACCGATATGCAAGCCTCAGAGGACCCCTCGCACAAAGTCTGAGAGGATCAATTAAATCGAAGTCAATCTATTATTGTCTGATTGTCTCGGTGAGAGTAGTCTTGAGACATCGAAGACAAAAATGTTGGGCAACTTGCATTGGGCTAAGCCACGCAGGAGACAGGCAGAATCAACTGGTAACAAGTTTGAGGCTGCAAATTATACCTGCAATGTTGGATGATGCTTCTACAGTGTTTGTGGGGGAGGTTGTTACACTCCATGGCCGATCAGGATCCGGTGTAGTTGCAGTCTGTAACTGAACTAGCACCACATGATAGCAAATCAAGGGTTCAGGTTGATGCATAACTGTAGCACCTATTCATTGTAGTAAAATTTATTAGGCCATTTTGGATACTACCAAAATAATGTGCCCTACCAATTTATTGGTAGCTTGAATAGTAATGTTGGATGTTTGGATTGTAGCCAATAATTTGGGGTCTGTTCACTTTGTTGCCAAAAAAAAAAACCTTACCAAATTTTGACATTGCTAAAATTTTGGCAACTTACCAAAATTTTGACAGGATATCTTATATAGTTACCAAAATTTGGCAGCAAACTAAATGTAGCCACTTTTTTGACAACTTTACCAAAATTTAGTAAGGTTGAAAATGACATCAAAGTGAACAGGTCCTTGGTAATGCCTCAATTGAACTTGACAGTTGGCACTAATCTAGAACTTTCTCCTCTGTAACATCAAATTTTGGCTTCATGTTGGTAGTAATCCAAACATATGCATTGCAACCTTATCATACCAAAATTTACCAAAGATTTGATACGGTAGCAAACCAAACCTATCCATTATTTTACGTTTCTTGTTGCAACGAATCTGGACTGTTGGATCAAAACACAAATGGCCGAGCGGTATGTAGTTCAGACATTTTGTACTTGAGGTTAGGGGCTGTAATAGGCCCAATACAAAGCAACTCTGAACTCGCAGAACCCAACCCAGTAGTAAAATAGGCTGAAAATGAACACTACAAGAACAGGCACCACAAGAAGCCCAAAAGAAAGATCCTGCAAATTTGTGGCCCCAAAACACCAAGGAAAAAGTACACCGAAGGTCCCTCAACTTGTCATCGGGATAAAAAACGTCCTCGAACCGCAAAACCATACATGCGAGATCCCTTAACTATACAAAACCGGTCACCCGAGGTCCCTCGGTGGTTTTGACCCCGGTTTTGGTCTACGTGGCGGCTGAGTCAGCGTGGGACCCACGTGGGCCCCACATGTCAGTTGGCCACGTCATCACTCTCTCCCCTCCTCTCCCTTTCTCCTCTCTCTCTCACTCTTCTCCTGTCTGGGTAGGCAGCTGGGGAGGACGTCGGTGGGTTGCTGCCTTCGGTGGGGCGAGGAGGGAGAGGGCGAGGGCGTCGGCGGCCGGCGACGGGCGACACGACGACGGCGGCTGGCGACTGGCGACGCGCCGCCGCCATTGCTCTCGTCCGCCATTGCAGAAGCCACAGGCACGGAGGCGGACCGCCATCGAGGGATGAGGTAGGCAAGCAAGGGGGGCGGGGAGGCCGGCGTCGACCTCCTCACCGGCCGTGACGTCGCCATCAAGTCCTTCCCCAACCGGCGACGTGGCGGCCAGCGAGGGGAGCAAGGCATCGGCGGGGGAGCAAGGCGTCGGCGGCGGTGAGGCGGTTCTTGGCCGCGGCCAGCTTGACCCGGAGTTTGAGGTTAGAAATCAACACGAAGAATCAATCAAGAAGCATTCAGATTAGCACATTCCAATTGGCAACCTATAAACGAAAGAGTGCTCCTAATAATCAAGCAAAAAATGTGAGAGGTTCAACCTCTGAGGTTAGAAATCAACATGAAGAAAGAAGCATTCGGATTAGCACATTCCAATTTGCAACCTAAATGAAATTGTACTAATAATCAAGCAAAAAAAAAAGGAAGTGAGAAACCAAATGGGATGGATGGATGGAGTACTGACTCGGTCTGGCGGATCTTGTCGAAGAAATGGGCGTCGTAGACACCGGCGGCGTCGGCGAAGTGGACGACGCCGGAGAAGTAGTGCTTGTCGACGTGGGCGAGCGCGGCGTTGCGCCGCCGCCGCTCCCGGCCGCCCGACCGCATCGTCGTCACCACTATCAGCATCCACCTCGACACGCTGCCCTCCTACTCCTCGTCGCTCACGTCCACCACCGCGCCGTTCCCGACCCCGGCCGCCTTCGCCGCCGCCGCATCCGGCACAAGGCTCACCTGCTGGTTCACGGCGACGTGGGACGCGGCAAGCTGGTGGTGCGGCTGGAATAGGAGAAGAACAAGTAGCGCGAAGAAGGAGAACAGCGGGCAGCGTGACGCGGCGACGAGGACGACGGCGCCCAAGCCCGCTCGCCCTGCGGGCGCCGCGAAGAACTTCATGGTGCCAACGATCTCCGCGGCGGCGGCAAGCCAGGCGCATCGTCGGGAGGCACGAATCCTACGGGGACGACGGCTTCCCAATCTTCACCGAGACCAAGTGCACATCGGCGCCGCGTCGTCGCCGCCGCCGCCGCCTTGCTCCCCTGCTCTCGTGTCGTCGCCGTCGCCGTCGCCGCCGCCGCCGGCCGCCGGACCTCCTCTCCCGTCTCGCCCCGTCGGTCTCCTCCCCACCCGTCGGCCGGCGGCGCCGGCCTACCCACAGCACCAGAGAGAAGAGTGAGAGAGAGAAGAGGAAGGGAGAGGAGGGGAAAGAGAGAGGAACTGACGTGGACAGGCTGACATGTGGGGCCCACGTGGGTCCCACGCTGACTCAGCGTCACGTCGGGCTACCGGTTTTATATAGTTAAGGGACTCCGCATATCTGGTTTTGCGGTTTGAGTACTTTTTTTTTTTATCCCGATGACAAGTTGAGGGACCTTCGGTGTAATTTTTCCAAACACCAATGGATATTATGGACTTTTGGCCTTTCAACAGTTAATTATTGCTTTTATAAACTTTGTTTTGAATCTCACAAACACTTCGGGGGTGTAGCTCAGATGGTAGAGCGCTCGCTTAGCATGCGAGAGGTACGGGGATCGATACCCCGCATCTCCAACGTTTTTAAACAAATTTATATTTTTTTCCTGAAATTTCTTAAATCCATTTTCCCCCCGAATCATATTATCTGCTAAGCTGGAATTAAATTTCATGACTCCATTTTTTTCCTCCTGAATTGGGGAGTTGAATTGCATTAATTTTCTTTATTTTTTTTCTCTTACTAGAAAAAATACTTGTGCGTTGCAACGGACGAATGCTATTTTAATCTTATTATTGTTATATAATTTAGATATGGTAAAATTCACTGTGGAAATTCGCTTGGATTTTTCTTTTTTTGAAAATCATGAGCTGCAATTAGGAGTCTGGCATTCATCTCAAGTTAGCATGCAAGTTTTTTAAAAAAGATTTCTTATACGACTTCTTTTGTATTTACAAAAACAAACAAACTTAAAATCCGACTCAAACACGGATGACATTCCAAAATACTAGAAAAACATCTTCAATTTTTATAATGGTAAATAATTGCATTACGTGCTAAGCTAGAATTAACTACTTATTACTAGTTCCTTTTCTCCTGGAATTGTTTTTAAAAATTTCTTAACTCCTTTTTCTGAACTGTGAAGTTGAATTGCATTATCAGTTAAGCTGGTATGCCTTTAACAGTTAAAAGTAAATTTCACAAAACATAGATTTTAGAACACTCGTAACACAAAACCCATGTATTATGATTTGTTTTGAAAACCCCAAGGTTTTAGGGAAAATTTTTAAGAAAACCTTATGTTTAAGTTTATATCATTTTTTTGTTAACCCATATATTTGTGCATAATAATTGGAAAAAATAATATGAGATATTTCTAAGTATATATACATGTTAGTCTTATTTTAACGAGCGTCATTTATTGGTAATATGATTAATGTTTATATGTATAAGTTACCAGTTAATATGTTATTGTTAGTGGGGTTATGTTGTGTTTTTTCAATCTTCCAATGTAAGAGGAAAATGTTAAAGTACATGGGAGGGATATGTATTTTGTGCCTACTAATGCAGACATATACTACTAAAAATATCATATACAATGATGAAATTATGAGTATTTGAGATAAACATAAGTTTTTTAAAAACATTTTTAAACCAGGGTTCCTTGAAACAAACCATAATATCTGGAATTATGCACTACATGTGTCTCAAATTATTTTGTGAAATTACTCTTTAATTACCTTATTACTAGTTTTCAAAAAATTATATAATCTGTCTTTAATTCAATTAATTAGACTGCTTATAATTTATAGGGACTAGTTTTTTTTCACACGCACCAAACTCTATCTAACCCATTCCACTTTGATATATATAAAAAAATAAATTCTACAAAACTATTCGATCAAAACTATCGCTTTACTATACTTTAACTAGGCGCTTCACAATACTAGAAACAACAACAAAAAATATAAAACAAAACAACAATTTTATTCCCTACATGTCTATGATATGTGAACCTAATTTGGATAGCACAAGTATCTCATATGCGTATGACAGATGGACCCAATGACGTTGGAGATATAAAATTGTAGTTTTATGATAAAATCATATACTATTGTTGTATTGTTGCAGTAGCCCAGCTAAAGTTAAACATACCGGCAGTTTTAGCTTTATACAATTTACTATATAAAAACCATACTCGAAAAATAAAATCCACCATCTCCATTCTCTCCTTACTCCCAAGTGACACGAATTACGGCTATTTTTTCAGTGATAGGTGTATCCACTGACATATGAGACATTCATAATGACTTTATTAATATAAAGATATATCGATCTAATCTTTTGGAGATACTCATACTGTCATACATATATGGTATACTTTCTTCATCACATAAAAAGCCCAATCACTATGTCCAGAATCATCTTTAAAATTGGATTCTTTTTTGATGAAGAGAACATATCCTATCTTACTTTAAAGCTATAACCCACTAATTCCAAAGCTCAACGTACAAACATACCACCTCACAATCCACTAGCAACAATTACATACAAAACTTATATAAGCATGCAACATCATCTATAATTCATTAAAATCAACATCCAATCATCATCCTTCACATTATTTTCACAATATTTTTAACATATATATATCCATTATTTTTTATAATATTTAATATATATTCATCTATACAATCAAAGTGTGGGATATCATATTTTATTTACAATCTCATACAAAGTCTACTAATTTTATTTAACAAACGAGTTTTATTTGTTGTTAATAGCTAATATATTTTTTTACTTTTAGCTTAATTATTAAAAGATACTAAAAATTACTTAGTAATTCCCGTAACAAAGCGTGGGGAATCACCTATTATATACACATTTATATATGGTATTGTGACTAGTGACTTGTGAGTGTCTGTATTTCGAAAAAAAAGAAAAAAAAACAGAAATGGAATCCACGCGCCCCAAAATGCAAGTGCGCAACACACAAGAGCCCAAATCGAGAGAGAGGAGAGGAGAGAGGAGTCCAGCGAGAGTCCATCCATCCACCCCTCGTGACGTGAGGGGGCCGCACCGCCGCTCGCCGCTCGCCGCTACCCCATCCGCCGCCGCCGGCCGCCGACGAGGTTCGGGGGGGCGCGATGGCGTCGGGGGTGTCGACGAGCATGGTGCTGACGCTGCTCGGCTTCTGCGGCAGCGTCCTCTTCATCGTCTTCGTCTGCACCCGCCTCGCCTGCTCCCTCCTCCGCCGCCACCGCCGCCGCCGCCGCGCCCGCCTCCCCGCCGCCTCCTCCCACTTCCTCTCCTCCGTCTACGTCGTCGACCACCACCGCCACCTCCCCCCCTCCGGCCTCGACCCCGCCACCGTCGCCGCCTTCCCCACCCGCGCCTTCCTCGGTGCTGCCCCACGCGGACACGCCTCGGCCTCCTCCTCCTCCTCCTCCTCCGACGCCGCCGCCCAGTAAGTGCTCCTCCCTCTTCCCCCGCAACGATCGCGATTCCCCGCGTCCCGTGCAATGCCTTCGCACTGCAGCATTGCGTTGCGTGAAATCTAAGCTTCGAATCTACAGTGTTGTTGTTGTTGTTGTTGCGGTGATGATGCTTGGCTTAGAGCGCGTGCTTTTCTCGTCGGTTTGGTTATCCGCATTGTGGGGGGTTCGAATTCGTTCTTCTCCGGGTGAATCGATCCCAACGATTGCAGTTCGAATGTGAACTTGGATGATATTCTATTGAGCACGTTTCAGTTGGTAGGATCGAGTCGGTGACCGGGGGATTGAATGCCCGCTGAATTAGGGCATTGTAGTTGCGGGGGCGCCCTCATACGAGTGAGGAAAAGGGGATCTATCAACTATTATGGATTTTATATTATATGTTTGAGATTTTCTGTTTGAGCACATGTCACTGTCAGTGTTTAGTTGAGATTCTCCTGGATGTCCACTTACTGGATGACTACTGTTTTTATGAGTTTAGGTGTTTTTAGATCTGTGAAGCTCTTCTTCGTAGTCGATGGATGATACTAGCATAGAAGCATGCATCTATGTTCGTTAGGTGTTCTTCTATGAGCGCCGAATCTTCACATATTATTTGAAATTTGAATTCTTCTCAACATACTAGTACTGAGTATGTCATTCTCCGGGCGGATATGCCAACATGACATGATTCAGTTTCTATTGTTGAATGCAATAGTTTCTTAAACGGTATGAGCGAATTTGGGTTCTACAAATTTACATCATTTGCAAGTATATATTGTTAATGATTATAATAGATGACCTGAACTGAGAAACAACAATTGAGACTTACTCCCTTTTATTTTCATAAAAGGTAATATTGCCTCCTGCCCAACATTTTCCAATTTAATGTTTCGCAAGCACGTGGTTGCCTCCAACCCCTAATATCTTCTTGGTAAGGCAGTCATAGATAACTGCTACTTAAAATCCTGAAGAAAAAACACCGCCTTGCAATGAAGTTTGAAGTACCAAGACGTTGTCCTTGAGTATTTTGATTGATTGTTTAGTATCAAATAAGTTATCATGTGGATGTTAGTGCCTAATAGAAACAGTATGACTTTTTTAGTACCATAGTGTTGATTGTTGTGTTTAATTGGAGATTGACTATTGAATCGTGAGATCCCTGAAAACTCGAATTATTACCAAACAGCTAAGATCATTAGGTCAATCACATAACAGAATGCAGACATTAAGTTCTGTTGAATAAGTCGAGGAGGAAGGATGAGGCACTGTCATCAAGTAGGTTAAACCCTCACCTGTGCTTGATGGGATGGAAGCTTGGATTAGGTTGGTTGTGCGATGTGTATCTAAAGAAGCTACAGAGATGCTTCTGTTAATCATATATTCATATTGGCGCTATTCGCTATAGTGGTTTTGCTGTATCAAATAAGAGGTTTCCATGTTTGGCATCATCCATTGTGGGATTGTATTTTATAGTTAAAGTGTTGATAAACTGTTGTCAACTCTGATAAATACTACTAGTATCTGAATTGTGATTTGTGTTTCTATAGGTGATTGTTAGCATTTTCCCAATTACACCAATATTATATTCTGAATCATTTCCTTCCATTGTTGGCAGGTGTGTTGTCTGTCTTGCAGACTATGAAGAGAAAGACGTACTTCGTATTCTTCCTTACTGTGGCCACAATTTTCATGCGTTGTGCATAGATATTTGGTTGATGCAGCACTCAACATGCCCGGTTTGTAGAATTTCATTGTGTGACTACCCTGATAGCAAGCAGACAATGTCTCCTCTACCAAGTGAAGTGATAATACCTCCATGTTCCCCTGAACCATCAAGGTCAGATCAATGCAATTGCCTGTTTGTCGGCACGGGGCATTCACCAAGGACATCTCAGGTTCTTATAAATGAACCTGACCAGTCGAATCGGACATTATATAGTCCATCAGTGGAAGGGGATAACAACTTGCCATCATCTGAAGTTAATCCTCCTGGTGAAATTAACAACCAAACAATGAAAAAGCATGTGGAGAATCATCGTATTCAAGACAGATCATGATCTACCTAGCTAAGATCCTGCAAGTGACTGTTGTGCAGTCTGCTGTCTTCAGGGTAAACTACATGTAAAATTATAAGCAGCAATACAGGTGGATTCATGGATGGCTGTTATAGGACATAGGTTACTTTGAAGGATGTAAATATGAGAAAATTGTTCAGGTTTCTTGTTAGAAAACACATTTATTTGTTAATCATATTCAAGGGCTCATTGCATTAAATAGCTTGTCTCACTTATTGCATCCCGACTGATGAATTGTTGTTGTCAACAGCAGTACATCTGCAAAATCACAAAGAGAAGTAGCTGTCAATACAATCAGAAAACAGGAGGAGGGCATCTTGATTAGTTCATGGATCAGGGTATGAGAGGAACACAATGTAGCTGTCTCACTCATGTAGTCATGCAAAAATTCTCCCTGAACAGCATCAAGATCAGCGACCGATTTGCCATCTTGTCTGTGACTGTATCTACTTGGAAGCAAGTTAGTCAGACATCAGCACAGTGCCATTCATACGGTAACTGCAGCAGCATGTGGCTCCAATGTCCTATTTTTGTTAAGAGTCTGATGCTGCCATGGTAAAGTGCCTGAGATTAGTTGGTCAAGCACTCAAAGCATGATAATGGTGGGAGCCAGCACAATGCTACATAACTCTGAATCTCTGATCCAAGATCTGAAGATTAAAGTCCAGATTATGATCTCTCCTCTGAAAACCAAATCTTGCAGGGCCAGGAGAACAGCCTATGGTTGTCCACGCAACGATGTCGGCTGGCCCAATCATGGCCTCCTGCTAGATCTAAACTGTGTGGCTGATCAAACCAGCAGGCAGCAGCAATGGTTCATCACTTCATCTTCCCTGCTGCCTTTGCAACAGTGTGGGGGCTGGACTGTGCAGACATGATTCAATCAAGTGTACTGCCATGAAAGGCCTTAATAAGTTTTACAGTGATTCCTGTCGGTGGTGGTGGCCCTCACCGGAGCAGATGCAGAGCTCTTCACTCACTCACTCACTCACTCACTCACTCTGCCCTTAAAATGGTGGCCAGCAGCATGGTGTGATGATCACACTCTCCTGCAAAGGCACTTCACCTGGAGGTGTAGTGTGAGGAGAGCTTTTTCTTTGCACCTTTTGGTTTTTTGGAGCTTCAGCAATGGGGGAGGTCAAGCATCTTTGCCTGGTGAAGTTCAAGGAAGAGGTCTTGGTGGATGACATCCTGCAAGGCATGACCAAGCTTGTCTCGGAGATGGACATGGTGAAATCCTTCGAGTGGTATTGCATCAACCAGTGCTGTTATATTTAGACTATAGTTTTGTTTTCTAAATCTGCAGGTTCTGAGGCAGAATACCTCTTAACTAGATAACATGCCTAAGATCACTTGTTTTTAGCAGCTAAATGAACTTGTAAGTTTGTTTATCCTTGAGAGTTCAGACAACTAATTAGATTTTTGACTTGTTTTCTGCTCTAAATCTAGGTTCAGCAGAAAGTGTGACATATGCCTAAGATCACTAGTTCTTTTAGCAACTAAATGAGCTTGTATTTTCATTTGAGGCTTTAAACTGTTAAGAGACATTGTGCAAACACATTGGATCTGTAATCTCTTTTTTTTCAGGGGGAAGGATGTGTTGAACCAGGAGATGCTGACACAGGGCTTCACTCATGTCTTCTCGCTGACCTTCGCGAGCTCTGAAGATCTGACGACCTACATGAGCCACGAGAGACACCAGGAGTTCGCCGGCACGTTCATGGCGGCGATCGACAAGGTCGTCGTCGTCGACTTCCCCGTCGTCGCCTCCAAGCCTGCACCACCGGCGGCACCGGCGGCGGCGGCGTGATGATGACGACATCAACTGTCCATCAAGCATCCATCCGCCATGGCATCAACCATTGCATCATTGTTCCAAGTACTTTCAGGTATCCATCCATCCATCTACACACGCAGATAGCTGTGATAGATGTACCTTAGGTTCCATTATTGCATGTTTCTGCTGCTTCAGTGTTGAGCTGGTGTAGCTTAGCTAAAGCTGTAATGCAGCTCTATCCCGTGCATTCCGTTCAAAGCTTGTTCGGTTATTCTTGGAATAAATTTCGGTGATCTTTTGGTTGCTGTGACTTAATTACTTTTGCCTTTTTTCCTTTTCGGTGTTAATGATGGAGTGACAGATTCCTAAATAGTTTTTATGATTCACTTGTGCTTAAACTTTTGATTGAGAGCAGGTTTGCAATGACCCAGGTTTGGTGGTTAATTACTCGTAGTACAAAGGTAAACAGTGAGATGTTATCAGTGCTTTCATGTGAGGCCATTTACATCGGCATTTAAATTCCATCTAAAGAGGAGCGATATTACTACTCTCTTTCTTTCTTTCCCCTTTTTCCCTTTTCATTTGAGAGATGTTTGGTGCTATGTCGATCAAAATCGACAAAGTTGACCTTTTGAAATCAAAATATGCCCTATAAAAAAAAAATCAATGGAGCAAGTATCCTTGTAGCCTTCAAAGGAAGCTATGGGCAAATTGTCATAGCATTTACGAATGAAAAGGGAAAAATAGAGGGCAAAAGGGGGACCAAGTTGAAGCACTTCACCGAATGGAGATTTAACATGAGAGAAAAAAAATGGTGTTATATCATATGGACATATATACATATGGTATTTTTCATGTTTATTGGTGTGCCTAATACCAAACTGATGTTTGGCAGTAATATATAATGGCCATCCTGCGTATGGCACTATCACAATCGTGATGTAAAATTGATGGACCATTTGCATATTTCGATGGCTCAGGATGATGAGAGCAGTGATAATATATGCCACTAGCTGAAAGATGCGTACTATATAATAAATTGATATCATGGGCGGTGATTTTGATAGTTTTACAACTCTCTAATTTCTTCCATGGAATCGATACAAATGTGTAACCAGTACATTAGTGACATGTACACTTGGAATTGACCCAAGAGAGAAAGCAAAACAGAATTCAGAATTTCAGATAGTGAAAGAGTGAGCCCGTTGCTTTTGTTTCAAAAAACTTGCATGCCTTAACCTTACGAGACATTAGCTACCCAAACACTCAACAGACAGGAGTAAATCATCGAGTTCTCGAGACGTGCATTAACCTTACGAGACATTAGCTACCCAAACACTCAACAGACAGGAGTAAATCATCGAGTTCTCGAGACGTGCAGCAACGAAGATTGAATGATGGGTCTGAGATTATCTTAAAGGTAAATGCAGAGGTTAAATCACTGGAACAGTATGATCACTGCCAGAAAAATCCAGCATATATACATTACAGTGTCGCCATATCATCAGCCTATACGTTGCATACCTTGAAAGCAATGCATAATAAATCGTGAAAGCAACAACTGAATTTGGCCAACCTCCAACCAAGCCATAGTAATAAACAACCAAAGATAAGGTCAGATGGCTTGCCGGCGTTGATCTAATCCAGTTGATAAAGATAGGGATTCTCTCCTGCTTCATTCCCTGCGCTTAGATTCCTAATCAGTTCCGGTAAAAGTTAATAATTATTCAGGGTTATTTTGGTGATCAGATGGTTACAACAGAAAGCCAGGGAGATAAATTATGGTTGAGCATATGTAAGAAATACTAATAAAGACATTGTCGTATGCTATTGTAGCAAGCGTACAAGAAGGGAGAATACAGAATAAGGGACAAGTTTGTCGCCATGTACCAACACGGTTGCTTGGCAAATATAGTTTAGTGTAGAGCTGATGATTGAGACAATACTATCACATGTGGGGGTGATATCACCATCAACCCTTTCCTCCCCCCAAAATTCTGTTGGCAATTTGGCATCAAATGGAAGAACAGATTAAGAAAATCCAGGGGAAAAAACAGAACCACCAGGGGAAGGAAGGATCCAGGCCAACTCATTCTCTCGTGAGGAGAAGCAGCAGCAGCAGAAAAGCAAAAGGTCTCATCTCACGAGTTGTACCGTGAAGCAAACACCAAACAGTTGTACACCCGATGCTAGTGTGCAGCTGGGACCAAAGGTGAAATCTGGGAATGCCATTACGCCTACACAGTGTAGAGTGTAGAAGACCATGTGCTTCACCAGCTATACTATGCATACAGCCTTGGACTCTATGGTAGAGCAATACAATATAAAGTAGCCAAGATTAGTTGGACCAGAGCAACAACTGATGGAAGCAGATGAGTGTTAACTGGTGAACAACATATGCAAGATGTAGCAGGACATGGCAATCATAAGATAAAACTGATGTAATCAATATGCAATGTCAGGAATCAGTACCAGAGATCTCAATTGCAACAGTTAAGCCGCACAGTATGTATGAGATGTATCGACCGTGCAAGAGATTTCGATGGCACAGTGCAAGAACTTAAGCTGTGGCTTCCCTTTGTTGAATTGCAGATTTGCAGTACACGGTATGCGGTGGTATACACACACACGGCTCGGTAGCAGTACAAAAATAATGCAAGTCACCCTATCAGAAATTCAGAATCACTGCAGTGCTGCATTGCATAAGGGCAATAAAAGAGTAAATGCAATGCGTGATTTTAAATTTTACATCAAGCATAAACCAGCGCTTCACAATCCATTTTCTGGCTGCACCACCTCATGCAGCACAGCTTAATTAACAGAATTAAAACACACTCTAAATTGCTTTCTGTTGTTGTTTGTTAACTGTACGGACACAATACCAAACTAACAATTATTCAGAAAAGATGAAGAAATAAAAGAAGAGGATCCTACACTACACACACACCAATCTCATCAATGTATATGCCCTGTTCATGATCTTGTGTTTTTTTTCTCCCCAACATGAAAAATCTAACACCTAAGTTGCAATAAACAACAACCACACATCATTTTGCTTTTGCTTTGATGGTTTGGTAAAGAATTGAGACCACCAAATTCTCCCAATGGAGACAGACAGTAACCAGAGCAGTGAACAGATTTGACCTCTTGGAGAAGAAGAAGATGGCGTTCGTCAGGGTGGCGACTTGAACGCCTGCACGATGAGGGAGAATCCCGGCGCGGCGGCCTCCTCCTCCAGCCATAGGCGGCTCTCGAGCGCGCTCCTCGCCCGGAGCATCACCACCGCGCAGCCCGGCGGCTCCCGGAACCACCACCCGTGGAGGTCCCACATCACGTCGACGGGGGCGCCGTCGACGAACACCGTCTGGTTCCCCCGGAAGTTCCAGCGCAGCCGGCACGCCTGCACCGCGCGCTTGCCGTCGACGCACACCCACAGCTCGTCCCCTCCGCCGCCGGAGCCGGGGGCGGCGGGCGCGCAGCTGACGCTGACCTCGTGCTCGGGCCCGCCCTCCGCGAACCGGACGCGCGCGGCGTGCATCGCCGCCGGGTCGGACACCACGACGCGCTCCACGCGCGAGACGGGCGCGACGCGGGCGCGCGGGATCTGGCCCTCGAACTTAGCCTTGACGAACTCCGCCGCCAGGTCGCCCACCGCGAGCACCACCTCCGCGCTGGCCACCGCCACCACGTAGTACCCGGACACCGGCTCCGGCGACGACGCCGCGGGGTCGTACCGCGCGGCGGTGAGATCCCAGAACAGCGCGAGCGGCGGGGGCGGGGGCGGCGTGGTAGTACCGGACTCATCACCACCACCCCCGTTCTCGTCGCCGGAGCTGGAGCCCGAGGGGAGGGAGCGGGAGCCCCTCCTCCGTCGGAGCTGGATGGCGCGGGCGGTGGGCGACGGCGCGAACGACAGCGTGGGGCCGAGCGGGGAGTGTCCCCACGTGAGGCGGAGCTGCAGCGGCGGCGCGGGGGCCGCGAGCAGGGTGGCGCGGTAGGAGACGGTGACGGAGAGCGTCGGGGAGGAGGAGGAGGCGGTGGTGGAGGAGGAGGAGGAGCAGGTGGAGACGCGGGTGGAGGACGGCGCGGTGCACGCCGCGACGTCGGCGACGCGGACGGCTCCGTCGCCGATGCAGGAGGCGAAGTCCCGCACGGACGACGGGAGCAGCAGGCTTGACGCGCTCACCATTCCCGCTACCGCGGCGAGATCTGCGGCGGCGGAGGCGGAGGCGGCGGCGGCGAAGAGGAGGAGGAGGAGGTGGGGCTAGTAGAGTAGAGGTTACGGTGGTGGAGGAGTGGAACTCATAATAGCGGAGGCGGAGACGGCGGCGAGGCTGCTCAACTGGTAACTGCCGGAGCAGAGGTTGGGGAGGAGGAAGCCTTTAAGTCTGCCTGAGACGATGACGACCGTTGGATCATCAACTCGCGCGACGTGGACCGTCCGATCGACCGTACAGGAGTGCGAGTGGAGATGTTTTTTTCCGGAATCACGTGGGAAAAAATACCCCTTGGATATAATAATAAATTAAATTCGCGTGAAATTCCTGTGTTGTAATATACTAATGACAAAAAAAATGAGAAAACAATCTTTTCACCCATTTATGCACGACAAGTAAACCCGATCTCGACCGCATTCTCTTCTCTCTTTTTTTTAGCGTCATTCTACCTTTTTCACCTCTTTTTAATTAGCTATATGTGATTTGATTTTACTCTTACGATTACACATACACACGTACTAACGTGCAAACCTTTCTGTATTCCATCTCTTATCACATGTTTAAAGAAATGAAAACTAGAGAAAAATCTTTAGCTTCCCTGAAATCCTATCAAAAGAAAAACGATGATTCTACTACGTCCTTACCGACAATAAGCAAGCCTAATCAGACGAGAAAGTACCGTCACCCATTTATCCACAAGTAATCTAGATCTCGACCGCACAATCTTCTTTTTAGCTTCGAGTAAATCAATTTTTTTTTAAAATTATTATGAGGGCTTTTGGTGGGTCCGTTCATCCTTTGGGCATGCAGGGGAGGAGGGGCCATACCATGATGATGGTGCCATGATGCATTTGGCGCACGAAGATAGATGGATTAGACGGCGTCGCCATCCAGCTGCAGTCACGAGTGGTTGGGAGGATGGGGCAGGAGGGGTGACGAGGAGGAGGATGCGATGAGATGATGAGCTGCATAACATGGGAGAACAACTGTTGAGGCAAAATGCATGTGTCTCCATGCAACCACGGAGGAGAATGGGACGCTCTCGGACAGAGTGTTGGACGAGTCGGAGTGAGAGGGCAAAAATTGGTTGCAATGAACTGAGTAGCATGTCAATACTGACTATAAATCTAGACACATGCAGCATGTCATGTGTGTCCAGATTCGTAGTTAGGGTTTACCTTTTTTTTTGGGGACGGACTAGTAGTTAGGCTAAGTTCCTACTCTCTCCGTCCCACTTTAAGTGCAAACATGATTTTACGTGCCCAACTTTGATCGTCTGTTTTATTTAAAAAAATTTTAATAAAATTTAGAAACATAAGTCGTGCATAAAATACTATTCATATTTTAACATCTCATAACAATAAAAATACTAATTATAAAAAAATTTCAAATAAAACAAACGATAAAAGTTGGATACGGAAACTCATGGTTCCACTTAAAATAGGACGGATGGAGTAATTTAAAAAGGCTACATCCAACCGGAAAATACGTACTCCCTACGTCCAAAAAAAAAGGCAAACCGTGGGTTCCCGTGCCAACGTTTGACTGTCTGTCTTATATGAAATTTTTTTATAATTAGTATTTTCATTGTTGTTGTTAGATGATAAAACATGATTAATACTTTATGCGTGACTTATTTTTTTTAATTTTTTTCATAACTTTTCAAATAAGACGAACAGTCAAACGTTGAACACAGAAACCAGGGTTTGTCTTTTTTTTTTTGACGGAGGGAGTAGACTTTTTAAGTTCCTAATTAAAAAAAAGAAAAGATCATCACCTGCTTGTGCGGCTTCTCTTCACCTTCACGAGTCACTGGAGTCAGGTCATCTGGGTACAGACAGAATACCGCCACTGATCCTGACATGGCTGCCTCTCCAATCCTGTGGGTTCAGGAAATTTTCCAAGGTCAGAACTTGAGCTATAAAATTATACTAAAATATTTAATATAATAATAGGAAATGTAGCGATTTCAGCTCTTACACTTTGTGCGCAGATGCCGCTCGTTCTGACATTAAAAAAAGAATATGGTAGAATAAAACCGGAACGGGACAAACCCTCACCTCCCTCATAACTTAAATGAAACAAATACTAGCATATTGAAAACTTTGAGGTCAAATGGTCTGAGGACACATGTATTATGGCATCTTTCATCTTTATTTCCATGTGCTAGTAGTGTTTTCTTCACTGTGAGCTGACTTTTGTGCAGGCAATGGGGGCATAGTTTCAGTAGTAGTAACAAAATTAGCTTAACATGAAGATGAAAGTAGAGGCAATATATGTTGGATGAGACCGATCAACCTGGGGAGATGGAACCGGTGGATCATGCATTTGGTCATGGTCCCTGGTGACATGTATGATGATGCAAAAGGAACGGTACTACGCATCAGTACGGTCATACATCAAAGCATAGGCCATCACCACCAACCCTCTCAAGATTCACAAATCCAATGGAATACTATGCCAGGTTTGTCACCTTGTTACCTACAGGTTTTAATCATAAACCAAAAAGGGTTTCACCTCCCCAATTATTGAGGATTAACTAAGTAACCAAACGAACGTCGTGGAAAGCGTGATGGTGAATTAGAAATGAAGCAAAAAGAACTTGTCCCCCTTGTCTCTTGGGCTCAAGTCTGAATTTCTCTGAAAGTTGCCCGTATTGCTGTTGAGAGATGATTCAACAATGAAGGAACCAGCACAATCACTGTACTATTCGCTCTTAAATAGCAAAACTCCAACGCACACATGGCAGATAAAAAAGGGTTGCACGGAAATGTGACCGTAATCTCATCAATTTGCACCCTTTTCACCTGATCATTGCGTTTAACCCACTAACTGAAAGAATACGCCAGATTATAGAGAACGAATGGGCTAACCTGCTGTGCTTATGCTGACCCTGCAGAGCAGATGGCCCATTGGTCCATGAATAATGAATCAGTCTGATCAGAGATGCGAGAATACAAAATAGTATGGGTTATAAAAATGCTGAACTGAAGTATACTAAATTGAGTCATGGGAGGACAATCTGCTTTGGGGTGTGAGAGTGTGATTCATTCATCGGGCACGGAAAACCAGGCACTTGATCCCAGAGGCATTAGAAAATTGGAGCAAGGTTTGTTGACTTTGTTTTTAGATTCGATGAGAAAAAAAGGGCTGTCCCTTGCATTAAGTTGGTAATGGAGAAATGGGACACTCACCTGAAAATAAGGAAAGCAAAGGATCCCTGAAAATGATAGACAGCAGTTCTCTTTAGCTTTCGACAACCGGGGAAGAACAAAAATCAAATGTTAACACAGCAAGTTAATAGGTTTTTTCATCTGATACATCAGATAGGGTGGCTCTTCACACAACGATCTACATGATTCAATCCAGCTGGCAAGAAGATAAATGTATTGCCAGAAAGTGGAAGAGGCAAATAGTCTACTTGTATGTTTTAATAACTGAAGATGACCAATGTACACTGAACACGGTTTCTTTTCTTACTTTCTTTTTTTTTTCTCTTTTTGACTAAACTAGGACAACTTGACAATGCAAATATTATAAGTACAGAAAACACAAAAGAGGCATACGTGGTAAAGCTGAAATGAGACATTCAGCTGACAGCAAGGGAACAAGGAACCCTGAAAATCATCGACCGCAATTTGTTAGTTTTCAACCAGCAAAAACAAAATAATATACTTAAGTTTATAATGTCTATTTTGTGATACTCCGATAATGTGGGTCTTCACACGGAATGATCTACAGCTCCAGTGGATTTAGTCCAGTTGGCAAGAGCATAAACGACTGCATTGCCAACTGCCAACAAAACGAAGAGGCAAACAGTAATATATCATGCTGCATGATATTTTTAGCAGCATAACCATCAAACCGTGTGTAGCGGGGACAGTTTCTTTTGTCTTTTTGTTAAACTAGGAAAAGATAACGCTGCAGTTTTTAAAGATACAGCAAGCACAAGTTGACGTAGGAGGCATTTATGTTTCTAATCTACTGAACAAGCTGCTAGATAATATTATGCAGTTCGAGTGAATATATATAACTCTAACTGACTGCAACAAGGCAGTTGACGAGAGAGTACAAAGCCTTCTCTGATCATACCTACTAAAAATAAGAGAGAAATATTGGATAAAAATTCAGATTTCCAAATAAAGGCATACCAGTTGAAAACAAACTTGTCTTCTTCTGTGCAGTTGAAGTTGGAACATCCCCATGCTAGCTGCAAGTTGAAATTGCTCAAAATAATAATCTGCTGATCAGATCAGTGTGAGAAGTTTCCATTCCATGATGGGCCCATTGTTTAGCTTGACATTAAAGAATCCTTCAACAGTAATATGATTCCATTCTATACTACCTTGCCAAAACTGAAATCAAGTTGACGCACCCACAATTACCGAGTAGGGGAGTAACATAAACTGGCATTGTCTTGGAACTCTACAGATAAGTTGTACTGCCCATACGGATAGGTAAATTGTTAGTGCTCATCATTATACCCTTTTGGGGAAGCCATTGATGTATATGGCTTCATATTAGTAGCCTAAAGCATGAGATAACCCCATCTTGAACAGTTTACAGTACCTGCAGTAGGATTAGGACCTTTCTGGCAACAAGAAATAGGTATCCTTATGTGCATTGAATAAACAACATTTCCCTTCATGAGTCAGTTATCCAAGATCAGTAGGAAAATATGATGGTACACTCATCAAGAGAGGCAAAGTCAAACAAAAAGAGACATCTAGCTTACATGCTAAACCTTAAGTTAAATATGAGACTAAACTGATGCCTATTTTTTGGACCGCTTTAATATGGTTCATTCCACAGAACAGGCAAAACTCCATCTCGTAAATCAAGAAAATCAAGTGATTTTGGAACCTAGCCATGCATCGGTAAGCCATTATGCTGCAGAAATAAATATATAACTACCATGAAATTGAGTACTGCATGTGCAGATAAACACTCCCTATTTGAGCTTGACTCTGATGAACTGAAGTGTTGTTGGCACAAAAATGATGAGTTTGGTAACTACAGTACAGTTAGCTATAAAAATGAAACCATGGTTGCCAACGAAAAGGACACAGTAGGTACATGTTTATGAGTTCTGAGACAGTATATATTGGATGGTCCAGAACTATTAATGATGGGAATATGGTTCTTCTCTGCTTGATATAAACATCTACCAACTATGCAAAAGTTCCTGCATAAAATGTAGACACAGGAAAAGATAGCAGAGAAGTCCCAGCGGCCCGGACAGCTCACAATACCTAGGTTGCAAATTAAGCATTGTCTCTGCAGTTGTTTGCATCACTTGTATTGTACTCACAGGTTGCAGATGTACAGAAGCCCGTTGGGACTCGTATGCAACCTTACTGTGATTAATAGTCAATACAAACTTCATAGTAGATCACAAACCGACTCTTCAGGATCGTCAATCACCTCGCCAGTCGCCACCATTGCTCACACTTCAAGTTCGAACCCGATGTGAATCTGAGCTCCAGCATGCATCTTTTTACGTTCAAAGTTGTGCCCACCTCTTTCTTATCCTCTCCATATGCTTCACCATAACACCTCAAGATAATTCCTTGTTTGAGCTCTCACCTAAATCTCTTCTATCCAAATGAGAAATATCTTCGCATATGATAGTCATATAATCTCCTGCCCCTTGCAGGCGCAGATAACACCAAGGGCCGAACCCAACTTACAGAAAGAACAAGGCAGACAATGTAGATAGAGGAAGACACCTACAAACATAGTGATAGTGTCCATTTCATGCTGCGTACCAGGCCCTTTGTCCATGGAAGATTGTCTGCACCGACGCAGCTCTTGACTGCAGAAGCAGTCTAATGAGCCCTGTTTTCTTATGACACAATGACAGCCATGGCCTTCCCTGTAGTACAACAGATTTATGGTTACAGTATGGCTTGCCCATGGTGAGGGTGACACACACATCATTGCGGTTTACAGTACTGAGTCTACTGACTGAACCGGAAAACTTTTGTACCTTAATCATATAGGTCTGTGCAGTTGATGCAATGGTGATTTCATTAACAGAGACCGCTTCTGCTCTAATCTAAGAAATGTAAATTTAAAAATTAAAACTTACGATTCAGTTTGTAAGAAAATATGAATTACTGTTTATGTTAACAAAATTGTGTATCAGGAATGAAGTAGTGAACACGCCCACATACCTGGAACACGCCAACCTCGTGGTTGTGACAGAAATTAGGCAGCAGCAACACCATTCACCATGGACTCAATCACCCAATGCCTGACGCGAGCAGCAGAGAGAACTGCAATCATGCCCGCTGCAGCGAGTAGTCCAAAGGTGGCACACTGGATGAGGGAAACGGCAGCCGCAGGGATCAGCATAGAGGACGCCAATGAGCGTGGTGACAGGATGGACGAGGCGAAGGCAACATGCTCCCGTGGAAGGCAGCCAGCCGGCTGGGCCGGCGAGGAAGATACTCAAACAGCGGTAACACAATGGTGGTGGATATGAAATGATGTTTACATATAAACAGTATGATACTTTTACTGTTTAGCTTCAGAAAAAAAGGTTATTTACATATTCCTTTTGTTTGAAAGAAGGATGCTATTTACATATCAGATCTACAGATATTAATCAAGATGCCAGTATGTACATCAGTATAAGATATTGACATACTTAGCTTTCCTGAAGGATGTTACACCAGAACATTACCTTGCAGGAAGTTAGAACTCTTCATCAGTTTCCATGGTCCTGGTAATAGGTATTGACCATCTTCCTAGATGGGCTGTGTAATTTGTGCATCTGACAACACCTCTTCCTTTTGGTCCATCTGGGAAATCGATCACACTGATGCTGCCATCGTCTAGATGAAAAGATGACATGTAGTCCATCGTTAAATCCAGACACCTGCAAATCAATGCTAGATTTATACCCGGATGTCCTACGACCACCAGAATTCTTTCTGAAGTATCATCTTGCAACTCATTTAGCAAGGCTTGCCATGCAGCTTTCGACTGGTTCCATAGCCCCTCCAGAGTTTTGTATTCCATGCTGCCCAGCCACCCAGACTGAGCTATTTCTCCAAAGCTCTACAGAAGAAAACCAAGTGTTATTTGAACACCCCACGAAATGCAGGGAGCTATTAAAATTTCCAGGTAACCAAGCAACCAGCCAGTATGTACATAAGATGGGATAGCTTTAGCAAGAAGAATATGGTGGCTGGCAAGCACTCATTATAGATCTGATCACTAAATGTTGTGCTTTGCATTATCTTTGCAAATATTGATCTCCAAAAAGTGTTTTCAATCTTTCCCAGGCTAGGGTGCCTTGCGTGGGGGTGATGGTGTGTTTTGGGTTCCTTTGTGGGTGTCAACTTGGTGTGTCTGCCTGGTAGAGGCGCTATTAGTATAGTGTAAAACACTACTCTCTTTAATGAATAGGCAGATAGCCCTGCCATCTATTGCAAGTGTGGATTTTCAAGGCATGTACAGGATCTTCAAATATTCTATGCACTAGTAAAGCTACTGTGACAGAAGCCATGGAACGTGGAAATGGTCTAACCTTTTGCTTTGTTTGGAAGGCATCATCAATTTCTAGTTCTAGCAGTTTCTTCATTTCCACATAACGAGGCACACAGTCAGCACCTAAGCAATCTGCAGCCTCTTGAACCTACAATTCACTCTACTATGGTTAGATCAAGCAGGTAATAACAATAAAACGATAATGCATTGGACTAAACTTTGCAAATTGTTCAGACTTCAGAATGTAGTTACCTCGCATATAGTAGTAGCAGTATCAAATGCTGCAACTTGTGGGCTACAGAGAATACCATTTACCTTTTGATCTAAAAGTAGTTCTGCAGTCTTCTGAGACTGAAAACATTTGGCCAGTAATGAGCTTAGGTTTTAGTTAGAATAATGAAATATACAGTTTGCAATACAAAGAAGAAAATTACCTGTATAATCCCAAGCATGTTAAGCGGTGCATACCCCATTCCACTGACACCAATCTGTAATAGAAACAGTGTAATTACATACATAAGCAGCAAAGCTCAACAGGTAAATATTGTCTACCTGGGGGTACTCTTTACAGAAATATAATAAAAACCTTTCCTTATACAACTTATACTCGAATTTTTAATTTAGTTTTTTAGTACAATACTTGAACAAATGAGATTGATTCACTTAATTTCCCAAATTAAATTTAAAGAACTACAAAGCAGACCTCCAGGAAAATAGTAGGTGGCTCGTATTGATCCATAAAAGGTGCATAAATTTAGCCAGTTTTAGAGCACAGGTTAAGATAGTTAAGGTCATGGGTTCAAATCCCTTCATTACCGTTTTAAGGATTTCTTAAGGTATCCCTTCTATACTTGAAATCAATGTACACAGTTTCTCCAGTGAATTATCTTTGCTTTCACATTTTGATCCATAGAAAAAGCGCTTTTTTTTTCATGCAAGCATGGATGCACAAATGAGAATATATACCTCTGCACTGTTCTGTGTAGCTCCTTGACATGCTAGGATAATCCTCTTGCTTGTCTTTCTCCCTGCAGAACTTCCTGAGGCAACAGGAGAATTTGGCGTCTGCAAACATGGAAACACAATTAAATCCTATATTTACTGGTTTTCCACCTGTAGTTCTGTTTTGACACAAAATTATTTTATTTTACTTATCCAGAAGATGGTACGAAACTTGCATTAGGCAAGGCATACTACTAAAAGGAAAAAAAAAACATCCATCCAACTGAAAGTTACACACATGCACACACACACCTGATTTAAGCGGTTAAGGCATACAGCTGGAGGCCCTCCACCAGCCTGAGGGGTGAAATCCAGCACACTAGCACCACAATTGCTCTGAAGTAGAATCCGAAAGTACTCTGTGCCAAGTCCTAAATGCGAAAACCAGTAAACCAGAGATCAATTGGGCACAACCTTGGAACTATAGAATCAACAGCAAAGCCTAGTGGCACCAACCCAACGAAGAGGCAACAAGAGCCTGGTTCACTGCATTATGTGCAACAACAAGCACCGACTTGCCCTCATGTGCCAGGATCCTCTCCCAGCAGTTCTGTGCGCGGTCCCAGAGCTCCCGCACTGGGTAGTGCCCATCAATGCTGAAGTTGGCCGCGTTCTTCTGCCACTGCCGGTAGATAACTCCATACCTCTCCTTCCCTTCATTCTTCAACAATCCCTGCAAATATTCAGACAGTGATACCAACCAAGCATACATCCGTTCAGGCATTTGCACGAACATCCTGTGAGCAACCTAATACCCGAGAAGTATCCCAACCTGGAAGGAGTAGAGATCGATCTCGCGGAGGTCAGAGTCCGGGATGAGGTCGTCGTCGCGGTCGGCCCAGATGATCTCGGCGGTGCGGCGGGAGCGGGCGAGCGGGCTGGTGAAGCAGGCGTCGAAGGAGTCGGAGAGGAGCATGAGGCGGGAGGTCTCCGCCTGCGACTCGCCCTTGGGCGTTAGCACGGAGATGTCGGAGCTCCCCTGGATCCGCCCCTCCGCGTTCCAGGTGCTCTGCCCGTGCCGCACCAGCACCACCCGCTTCGCCTCCCGCAGCGGCGGCAGCCGCTCCCCCGGACGAGGGTTCGGGGATCTCTCCAGTTCCCGCACGCTCGAGCAGCGGACGCGGAGGGCTGATCCACCGACCTTCCTCCGGCGAGCGGCGGCCGCCGCCGCCGCTGGTGAGGGAGCGAGGAGGAGCATGGGTGAAGCGAGATGGGATTTTTTTTGTTGTTAGACTCGGAAAAGGGTTGTGTGGTTTGGGTTGGGTTTCCCGCGAAGATTTTTGGCATTTTGCCATAGGAAGAGGTGGAAGCGTACTAACCAAATTACGCGTTTGGACTCATTAGGCGTACAGTGGTAACAAATTCAGGCCATGTTTAGTTTCATGCCCAAATTTTTTTTATCGTATACGGACATACATTTGAAATATTAAATGTAGACAAATAATAAAACAGATTATAGATTTCGTCTGTAAACTGCGAGACGAATCTATTAAACCTAATTAATCCGTCATAGCAAATGTTTACTGTAGCACCATATTATCAAATTATGGCGTAATTAGGCTTAAAAGATTCGTCTCGCAATTTACATGCAAATTGTGCAATTTTTTTTCGTCCACATTTAATGCTCCATGCATATATCCAAACATTTGATGTGACGGAATTTTTGGATGTTTGAAGGGAACTAAACACAGCCTCAATTGATGTCTTCTGCACTACAAACTCTGCATTTCTGAAGGATAAGAGATTCAGAGCAGGGTTCGACTTACCGCCGGTAACCGCGCGGTTACCGCGGTTACTGGGCTTACTGCGGGGGTACGGTAATATAAAATACCGCGGTAACCTCCTCAAATTCAAATAAATTTAAAAAATAATTTGAATTTTTGATAAATTTTGCGCGGTTTCATACGGTTTTTCACGGTTACCGCGCGGTAACCTTGCTTACCGCTGGGGCGCGATAACCCCGGCCCCGGCGGTTTGGGAAACCCTGATTCAGAGTACTCATTCAATTCCAATGACCTACATGCTCATGCTCATTGTTTTTTTTAAAAAAATATTGTTTTTCGTTCTGGCTTTACAACCAATTATTATAAAGGTTGTGCTATGAATAACTGCGAAAAATTTACAGCTTCATTAAAAACAATAAAAACTACTTGGTATACCTATATCACTCATAAGGACATCATTCTTTCGGATACACTCAACCTCAAGTTGCTATGCAAGGTATAATAGCTCACATCCGACAATTAAATTTACAGGTAACCTCATTACTAAGTACTTCTTAATGTGATTTTGAAACTATGCCGATGACCAGATAGCACTTAAACAGAGGCTAGGAGATGGACAAGGCTGTCATAAGCATTCAATTTAAGATGGAGGCTGAACTTATATCAAGTTCAAGTCCACCTCGGACTACAGGAACAATCTGCATTAGAATCATCGCCCGGATTTCATTCGGACTCTGCTCTTGACGTTTTACATATGTATGGAAAGCTAATGAGATCATCTTTCCAATGAATATGGTCTCACATAAAAATTCCTTCCAAGTCAACGGTAATCATCAAAACAAAACGACGTCCAGAATCTATCATAGTGACGCGTCATAGTCTTTGGACCCGTTGGGGCTTGTATCGTGTCGAAGTCCAATAGGAATGCATATAGGGATCCAAGGTCAACCCTAGAATCAATATTGTCGACGTTTGATGTCGTGACTACGGTATTTGGACAGTATGGGGATCGTTGGTACTAGGGTATACGCGAGACTGAGGTAAAAGAGATGGGGATAAGGATTTTTATACAGGTTCGGGCCCCTGAATTGTCAGGTAATAACCCTACATCCTGTTGGCCGAAGCCGGTATTGCTCTTATTCACCATAATCACACCAGTATAATATTTGGGGTAGTCTATCTAACTGTTGTCGACATGGCGATCTGAAGGTCTGACTCGTAGTCGACAACAGGGTAGTCTTCCTCCTCGAATCTGTGTCCGGCGAGATCAGAGATAGCGCTTTCGTCTCTCCTGACAGTATCCGGAGACACCGTAGGGGACTAGCCGTGCTTATCCCTGAAATCGATATCCGGCGTCTTGTCTTGGTGTATGTTGGCTTGTATTGGCTTTGTGGTGTCTATGTTGCCCGTGTCTTCTATGGTGGGTGTGTTGATTGTCTCTTCTATGGTGGGTATGTGGATTGTCTCTTCTCCTCCTAGGGGGCCTTGTATTTATACCCATAGGTGTCCCCTTGTCCAAGTAGAACTAGGGAAACCAATATGGATACAATCCGAGTAGTCCTTGTCGTTTCCATGTAGAACTCTGGTTGTCTTCCCTTATCCGGAACTCTTCATATATCCGCAGGTTGTTTCCGTATAGTACATAGTATGTGGTGGGTTCTGCCGAGATTTAGTCAACTACTATTATGTATGTGGTATCCATAACCCTGACAGTAGCCCCCGACTTCAATGCAAATGAGCGAGTTCATATTCTCAACCGCAGACCTTGGAGGAACTGTTATCGAGCTCACATGACCGTTCTCGATGAGTCCAGAGATAACGTTAGACTTCCTTTATCAGCCTCGTGCGGGCACCTAAAGGGTTTGTCTGAGTCAATCTCTGACGTCAACCAAGAAAGTACAGAGCATGCGACTAAGTCTCTTGTCTTGCTGTAATCGAGAATTTGGATTGAATTTAAGAAATTTTATCTCGGCAGGTTCACCATCTTTTCATTCCGTATTCCTTGTCGAGATCCACCAACCGTTCTCGAGTAATCGAGTAGGCGTAGAGTCTGTAACGGGGCCTTGTCAACATTTGTCGTACTCGCCTTAGTCGATCTTGATGTAGAATCATAGAGACATGGAGTCTTCGATAATGTCGAATAGAATTTTCCTGAAATCAATACTCAGGAAAGAATATTAGATAGAAATAGCCCCCCAGCGAATGCTCAAAGGATGACATGTTATAATATGTATGGAAAACCGAAAATGAATTAAACTTACAGACCAATGTTTTGTGTATGAGCGTCTACTCTTTTACCGACTTCGATCAGTCAGTTTGTTGAGTTATACACTCTCCCTAGCCCCCAGCCTTGTCGTCGGAGAATCGTTCTCGGAGGATAAGGCTCTTGGACCTTTGACCTGCATCGGTTGAACAAGCACTGATCCTAGCCCCCACCCGTGAAGTTGGAAAATCCATTTCCGATTACATGGCTTGGTTAATACGCACGGCGAGAACTCTTACACGACCAGATCTTACATGGTCTTTCATCTTTGAAGGATCCGACAAGGCCTTATCTGCTCTGGGCGTCCCCAGCCGAAGTTCCCTTAGGTTCCTCGGAGGCCTTGTCAAGACGGCGTAAAGGGACATTAGGATAGGTTTCAACGCTAGGTGTCTTTGTGGTAAGGGATCTCTGGGTAAAACACTTGGCGATATTGTGTACCTGATATCAACTTTGTTGAAGTAGAGGTAATGGGAGAATCGCTACACCTCTGGTCAAGAACCAGGTAATAGTCGTAACTCAACCATTAGAAGTAAATGTACGAGAGATCGCTACGATTGACTAGTTGAGAACCAATGAGTAGGTGTCTCTCGATCATTTGAAGTTGTGGTACGAGGACCGCTGCGTTATTGCTGTAGTCGTACCTCGACCATCTGAGGTTGCGGTGCGAGAGATTGCTACGTACTGGTTCGAGGACCAGCGAACGTGTAGAATCATCTCTCGAACACCAATGGAGGTTGCGGTGCGAGAGATTGCTACGTACTGGTTCGAGAACCAGCGAGCGAGTAGAATCATCTCTCGAACACCAATGGAAGTTTGCGGTGCGAGAGATTGCTACGTACTGGTTCGAGAACCAGCGAGCGAGTAGAATCATCTCTCGAACACCAATGGAAGTTTGCGGTGCGAGAGATTGCTACGTACTGGTTTGAGAACCAGCGAGCGAGTAGAATCATCTCTCGAACACCAATAGAAGTTTGCGTCTCGAACACCAATAGAAGTTTGCGGTGCGGGAGATTGCTACGTACTGGTTCGAGAACAGCGAGCGAGTAGAATCATCTCTCGAACACCAATGGAAGTTGCGGTGCGAGAGATTGCTACGTACTGGTTCGAGAACCAGCGAGCGAGTAGAATCATCTCTCGAACACCAATGGAAGTGCTAGAGTTGGTTTATTACATGTGCGTCTCATGTGGCCAGCATGACTCACACACCCAACTTGTAGCATATCCGGATGTCCGTTCGCAATCATGTCGGGTGATCAAGCTGACCGCGTTCGCGAGGAATTGTCCGTTAACAACCTTTTCTCGAGTAGTCCAGCCATGGCCGGTGCTATGAGATAGGTCGTCGGTCTTCGTTGGCAGGTTGGGCGCGACGACTCTGCATTCGTCGAGATCGTTCTCGATAATGCGGTGTACTTGACCACAACCTACTCGAGTGCTCAATTGTTCCTGAAAAATATTTTCTAGAAGACAAGATATATAGCAGATAATATCGAGTATTCTCTGCTAGCATTATCAGGATATAAAGAGCAGATGTAAATATTAGGTATTATGTAAACCGTAAACAAGCATGATTTATACAGAAGAAAATAGAGCGAGCCTCCAGCATTAAACCGTTGTCGGCCTAACACCGGAAACACTCGCATAATAGATATTGTATAAAAAACATGCTCTAGGTAAACATAATAAATTATAGATCTAACAATATTGTATGATCTGAAAAATAGGTACGATAAATTGCATATAAAATAATGCGTACCTGTGTAGATATATGCTGGATATATCTACGAAATTAGTAGATTAACTTGAAAATTAACCTACTAAATACCTTTGGTTTGCCCAGATGGCATATACACATATAACTAAAGTCACCATGCATGTATGCCGTATGGATGTGTGTTGTCTGATCTTTGAATCTGAGTTGAGCCACGTGTGCATGTGCAGTTGGTAGGAAATCGGTAATTTTGTTGACCGTGTATCCCTTGACTTACGTGGCCTCGCAAGTCTCTTGTCACGGCAAGGGATAATTAGAGTCCGATTCCCACACAGCATACGAGCACACGTAGTCGTCTAGGATTCAGGGGATGAGTCGTCCGATTTCCTCGGTGATGGCGTTGATCTGGCGGCTAGATGGTCAACCGATCGGCTCTAGTGAATTTTCAGAGCAGACACTGTGACCCGAAGATATAGCTGGCGCCGACGAAGTAGTGAACTATTGTCCTCCACGGTCAGCTCAAGTACTCCGATTGGTGAGGTAGATCAATTTGTTGACGAT